CCCATCAGCTGTGCAAAAGTAAGTTAAGAGCAAGGAAAACCTGGTGCTTCACCCAAGAGAATTTCACTGAAATTTTCTCTCCCCTTAGATAATGTAATTTCTGTTCTCATCCACTGGTAGAGAGTTGGGATGCAAGAAGAAATTGTCGGTGCAGCACTACTTTTAACTGTGAAAAGGAGAGAGAGAGAGCTGGCTGTGGATCTCCCAGGGCACATCTTGTTTGGCCCTGTGCCTGAGAGTGGGTGCTGGCAAAGAGCAATCCCAGCATCTCTATTGCTATAGTCTACCGAAGGGTGATCCACTCGGGTGCACCTCCCACCAACCTCATTCTGCCCTTAGCCAGCCCCCACCTACCTACCTACCCTCTTACACACAAGTTTGTGAGTAGAACAGCCGGTCAGCTTCCTCTGCCACCGCCTCAGTGCTTGCCCTTGGAGAACTCAGCAGATAGAGACAAAACTAGAATGAGATGGCTCTCTGCCTGTCATTGGCTCTGGCACCACCTGCAGTTGGCTTCCCTGCCTTCTTCCCTACCAGTTCCAGCGGCACAAGCCACCACAACTATAACCAAAATATAGAGAGACAGAGGGGAGAAAGGTCTTAAAAGTATGCACACATTGGTAATAGATACTGCAGAGTCTTGCACAGTGGGTATCGGGGGAGGGGAAAGCAATTGAAGAAGCGCCGTCAAGCTGGAGGGAGAGGCTGGAAGGACAAATTGAGAAAGCCAGTATAAATAGCAGCTGGCTTCAGACCAATTTCACATGTGCTACTTAAGTGTTTTTGAGCCTCCCTCTCCTTGTTGGAGTGCAGGTGTGAAAGATAGAAATGAAATTGAAAATGTTATTATATCAGGTTTTAAAATTGATTGTTGGTGCTAAGGAAGGTGGATTGACAAGCTGCTTCCTGCATTTTGTTGCCTGTGTGTTGCTCATGATCTGACATGCTCTTTCTCTGCTAGGGACTGTAATTTTAAGGATGTGCTGGTTTTTTACCCACTCTTTTCGTTGTAGGTTGTTGTTTTTTTGTTAAACTATTTTAATTGTATTCTATCCAGGGTTGGGAATGGTGTGCTAAAAGCACTCTTATTAAATAAATAACACATAACTCAAGTGCATTTTTGGGTCTACACCCACCATTTCCCACCATAAGCATGTAGGCTGAATCTCCATACTCTGCACCACAGCCTTCCCAAAGCTTGTGCACTTGAAATATGGGACGTCCCTTCTCATCAGCTCCAGCCAGAATGTCCAGTGGTGAAGGTTGATGGGAATTGTAGTCCATCAACATCTGGAGGGCACCATCTTGGGCAAGGTCCCCCAATGAGAGGAGCAGCCCTCATGACTTATTCCTGATGTATCAGTTAGATCAGGGGCAGTGGGCTAGAACCAAGACTGGGGCCTTTGGACCCCGGGGGTTGCTCATGACCTATTGGATTTGCAGACAGGGAGCCTGTGATGGTCATCCTTGAATGGCAAGATGCAAAAGAGAACAGGGAGTCCTTGAATCTTTAATAGTTGTGTAGTAGGGAAAATTTCAGCAAGTATTTCTTGTCAGGGGTTGGGGAGGTAGCATCTCTGGTGGGGGACAGGTCATGCTCCTTCTGGGGTAGCTTGCCCACCTTTGGTCCCCACCCTGCACTCCGCTCTCACCTGTGGCTCCTAGAAGCTGTCAGGATGTGACAGCAGCCACACCCCGGGAACGGCTTCGACTGGCCGGCTAAACCAAGTAAGGGGGTCAATGGGTCTCAAATCCTTGGTGGGTTAGGGACTTCCCCTGAATGTGAAGACGGGCTCTGGCAGATTGAGCAGACAAGACCAAGAGTAAGTTCAGTGGTCAAGAAGGCAATTTCTGCACATGCTGTAGAGGGAAGTGAGGGGTAGATAGGGCTTGTCCACCTGGGAAGGTGGCCCATCTAGGAGAAGGAAAACTCTGGTCCTAAACCTCCACTGCCTTTCTTCAGGAGAAGAAAAAGCTAAAGAGTAAACCCTACACACCTGCAGGGTGGAGTCCCTAAGGCCCTTCCATGGCAACTCCTGCAGTCAAGCTGTTGCCAGATGTTTGCTCTGCTTTCCTTTGGACCCCATCAGTGAGGCCAAGAGGGGAGTCTTGTCGTCTAGGCAACCCATGACCTCCATACACACTGCCCAGGACTGCATCCTGGGGAGGTCACTTCCATGCTGCTAACGCAGCATTTTTACTTCACCCATGGAGGGGAACTTCATTGTCTCTTGAGACAGACGGGTGCCAACAACAACAATAATAATATATTGTCATGTAACAGTCAGTGGGGGTCGGGGGGGGGGGGTAAGAGGAGGAAAATAAACTTTTTGCCAGAGAGACACTGGCACAACACCAGACCATATGTCTGCAGCCTCAGGAAGACGCTACATAACAAAACAGTGAAAGAGGAGGCATGCGAGGGAGGCAGCATTAGTAATGGCTGTGGGCTGGGACTCAGGGGACACTTGTGTGCATCATAGCTGATTCAGACGCAGACAGGCTGGCCTGCATGAGCCCTCCTGAGCTCACGTTATCTCTCGCGGGGGCTGGGGGTGGAGACGGGCATCACACTACCGGGTCAGAGTGCATTTGCACTGGGTTTCTTTAGCACTTTAAAACGTCACACTTCAACACATTTAAAAGAGGCTTTCAGTTAAGAGTCCTTTCAAATAGCTGTGGGGGTGGGAGGAGTAGAAGAGGTGGATATTGCCAAAAGTATCCAAATAAAGCCCCCGGGCTGTGCACTGTTCCACTGTCTCACGTTACCTTTGCATCTCTGTGGTGTTAACGTTTCAGATAGTGAGACTGCAATCTAGTCATGCTATCTGTGGCTGATGGGACTTCCAGTGCAGCAGGGGTGCCAACTTGAATGAATTATTGGGGGGCAGGTATGCCCTGCCCCACATAATCAATCACATGACATGTGCATGCATACCATTTGAATGGCAATGCCCATCAACTGGGGGGGGGGTCAGGTCTCCTCAAATATTTTATGGGGGGGGTGAAGGGACCTCAGCCTCTAGGAGTTAGCTCCTATGCAGTCCAGCAACATCCAGAGGGCCTTGGGTTCTTCATTCCTGCTATACAGCTGGAAAGCAAATCCCACTCAGTTCAATAAATTGCAACTTTGGATCTGTTTTCTGTTTTTAGTTATTTGGAGACCATGCACTCCTTTTTCTGTGCTTGAACAAACATGCAGCCAAGTTTGTAAAAGGGAGGGTGGAATAAAAGTGGTAAATTGGCATTATCCCATAGTTCTTGTTAGCTTCAGGCAATTGGAGCTTGTACTCCTAAGCATCCATACTTGGAAGTAAGACCTACTTAACACAATGGGATTTACTCTCAATTAAAGTGGTTAGGATTATCTTTGAACGTGGCCAGAATTGCTCCCTCCCCTCCTTTTCCTGCTACTAGGAGGTAATGGATAACTTTTGGAAATGATTTCATGGAGAAAACCCTGTCACATGATTTTTTAAGGGAAAACCCAGGAACAGGAGCCCATAGAATTTAGCTTCCTGCTGATCATTAGCCTTTCCTGGAAAAGCCACATGAATTTTCAATCCCTAGACCAATAAAATGTTTCATGGAAAGGAGGCTTCTGTGCAGCTCTGCATGGTGAGGGCAGGTGTGCTCCATTTCCTAATCTCTCGGAGTTCACACACACACATCTGTAAGCAACTGTCAACTACAGCTGTCATCAGATAAGGTTCACAGCACAACCCTATACAGGAGTAAGCCCCACTGAATGCAATAGGAGTTACTTCTGCGTAGACTTGGTTAGGATTGCTTGTGGCTACTACACTGCTGCCTGGAAACATGCCCATTGCTTGCTGGCTGCCTTGCCCACGTAAGCTCAGCCCGTGGGATTAGCTCAAAGGCCAGTCAAGTCCAGCCTCATTTTCTCACAGGTGGCCAACCAGGTGCCTATAGGGGAACCCCACAAGCAGGACTGAAGTGCAATGACCCCCTTCCTACAAGTGAGTCTCAGCCACTGATATTCAGAGGCATCCTACCTCTGGACGGTAGAATTGCAACATAGTAGCCATATGAAATTATTTGGTAACACTTGTATACCATGTAACTTTGTGTTTGATTGAATGGCTGTGCAAATTTCTCTTTTGTTCTCTGTAAAATTAAATTTATACAGTAAGGCAAGGGAGCATGTGTCCGCCTAATGTTTCTGGACTGCAACTCCAGGTAAAGGCCCACCTGTCTGTGGGATACTAGTTTCCATGGGATGTTAGTCTCCTACTGCAATGAGAAGCCATGAGTGGCTCCATGGGAGTTTTATGTCTCAAATGTTGAGTGACGCCCCATGTTTTCCCCTGCTATAAATTCCACTGAAATTGGTTGCATTTTAATGTTACTGAAATTGTTTTATGTTCTATCTGTATTGGATTGTAACCCACTTTGGGGCTACATGATGCAGGGCTGGCTAAAAATCTGATAAATAAATAAATAAATTCACTCTCTATGCTCTTCCATAATCTCTTTGAATTGTGCACACCCGCATGGAGGCTCGGGGCGCTTCAGGCTATATTCATGTTGTCTATCTCTGCAGCTCTTAGCAGTTACAGTATTCCGAATCATAGGAGCCAACTCCTAGGGGTCTAGGGGTCTCCCCCCCCCGCCCAGTTTATGGGCATTGTCATTCAAAGGGTGCGTGTGCACCCTGTCATGTGATCGATTATGTGGGGCAGAGCTTACCTGCCCCCCCATATTGTATTCAAGTTGGCACCCCTGCTCCCAGTCATGTCCCAGGTCCACTTTCAAAACAACCACCGGACAGTGGGCGGAGCCAAGACCAAGTTGCAGCCGGGCGAGTTTTTGCAGGGGGGGGGGGGCTTGCCCCAAAGAGATCCCAGTCAGGGTTGCAGCTAGGTCGCTCGGGCCTGATTAGAGGGTGGAGCCAGGCAGATCAATGCAAGTGGGACGCGGGGGCGGGAAATCTCGTCTCGAAATTCCTGCTTTATTCGGCAAGATACCTGCTCGATCCCGTCCCGAAGGCAAGGGCTGCTTAGAGGCGCGTCTGCGTCTCCTGGCGAGCATCTCTCCGGGCAGCTTTCGTGTGCGTGTGCGGCTCTCCCCGCGCTGCCTGTGCGTGTCGGGGGCGGCCCCTCGGCCCGAGCAGCCAATCGCGGCGCGAGGAGCGCGCCCTGGGTGGGCACGAGAGCGGCGGGGCGCGCGCAGCCGGGACGGAGCGAGAGAGGAGGTGGCGGCGGTGGCAGCGCGGCTGGCAGAGGGGACCGCGGGACCGGAGGAGAAGCCGGCATGGAGCCCAACAGTCCCCGCAAGATCCAGTTCACGGTCCCGCTGCTGGAGCCGCATCTCGACCCGGAGGCGGCGGAGCAGGTGGGTGGCCAGGACCTTGCCAGGCGGGCAGCTGGCTTAGCTGTGCGCGGCGTAAAGGGGTTTTCTTTTCTCCCCCACCCCCCCGCTGAGATCTGGAGTTACAGCTTCGCCCCGGGACCTCTTTGTCTGGGTTATGTGGGCTTCCCATTCTTAAGCGCCCTTTTGAAGTCACCGTGCGGCTCCCGATCGCCGCTCCTCCCCATCCAGTAGGATGTACTGAAGTGGCTTTTGGAGCGTCTCTGAGCATATGCAGAATGCTTTCCTCTCTCCATCGTGGCTCCCCTCGGTTTTGAACCTGTGTCCTCGGTCGGGTTTTCAGCCCTGGCAGCTCTCGTTTGGGAAACTGCGATGTCCCGGTGGTGTTTTCCTTGGCACCGCATGTGCCAAGGAACGGGGACGCAGTCGGGGCAGGTTTCTCCTGTATGTGCCCCCACCCCAAACCCTTCTCTCAAGAGGAGCCTCTCCTGGAGGTCATGAATTGGGTTTACTGTGAGGGTTGAGCATCCTCTTCCTCCTCCGAGTAACCCAACTCCACAGATGTAAAGGTGGCATATCTTGTGGCATCGCAATGGGACGTGCTCTGGGATCTGGGATCTGGGTGGTGAGCTCTGTGGGACTTCTCCAAGCCCTGGAGTGGGGTGGGTCGTGGTGGGTGGGTTGAGCACTGGGGAAGGGGCGGGATTGTAGCTTGTGGGTGTGGTGTTTGTCATTTTCGTCACTGGGCTTTCAGTCATATGTAGGTCACTTTAAGGAATTGGGGCTGTGGCAGGGAAATCTGGGGTGTTGCAAGGTGCTGCCCCCAATGTGGAGTGCTTGGCTCTGGGGGGTGGTTTGGGGTGAAAGTGCAAGCGCTTGGGCTGTCCTGTTCTCAGGTTTGCACTGAAATGCCAGGTGGTTATAGGGAGTTGTGTAGCACATGCTTATTAGGGTGCTAACATACATCTGTAACAATACCATCTTTCTAGGCTTATTACGTCCGCCAAATAACTCCCTTCACTTTTAATATTTCTTCTGATTTCTCTTAGATATCAGGGATGCTTTGTCAATGAGCACTCTTGAACTGTGATCACATCTGCTGTGTAGCTGGAGGCTAGTTAGTTATAGGTTGGCTCTCCTGTGGCGGTGAGGTTGCAGGCTGAAAGGATTGTCCGTGGGTGGCTGCTGTGCCATTTTATTGGGAGGGTGATGAAAAGCGGGGCTCGCTGTTTGAATTAAATTATGAGAGATTGCAGTGGAGGTTTGGGATCCGGACACTCTTGCTCTGGGAGGTATTGTGTAATGGGAAATAAATGGGGAGATTTTAAAACAGTGCAAAGGATGGCAGGGCACCTCTGACTATAAGAGTTGATGGTTAAAGTGGAATAAGAGTGATTTAAATGTATGGTGTGGATGTGACCACTACTATTAAAAGTGCTTGGGAACCTGGTGCTCTCTTGTGCCTGGCCTAGGGTTTTCACACACACACACACACACACACACACATTAACTGACCCTCTGCTAATGCACTTTTTCAAGCCGCTTGCTATGAAGACATATCAAGTGTTGATGTTCATCTCCATGCTGTTAAAATCACCAGCTGCTGATGTCTGCAGGTGAAGTGGCTGTTAAAAAGCCAGAGGCAGGCCACAGTGGCCCTTTCCCAATCAGTTGGCAACCTTCTCCACCATTGGAAGCCCTTTAGGATATGTCACTTCTGCATTCTGTGCAGCACCTAGCACCCTGTTGGTACCAAATGTTAGGCATAAAGAACTGAGATGTATTATGTAGTTGTGTTTGGGTTGTTTGGAGGTGCAAGATCAACTGACCTATAGCATGTATGAGTTGTATTTGGAGAGAGAGCTTGTATTGTGCAGAGAAAGCATGGCTGACCAAACCCAGTAAGCATTACAGGTGACTGCCTGGGACTTCAGAAATCCAGGATAATGGGATGGGCGGGGGGGATCCTCTAACAGGCCTGTTTCATGCTCTCTTCTAGTACTTTTGTCTGGCTAAAGCACATCATTGAACTGTGGTGACGTCCTTGGCTGGATAGAATGAGGAAAGAAGTGGATGTGTATAAACCTCTGAGTTTTGCATGGATGTAATCTATCTTCTTGTTAAAAGTCAAATCCATTGCTCTGCCTTCATTTTGCCTCTGGCCACACCCACCATTGCCATGGGGCCTCTGAAGGGTTGCCCCTAATGGAAGTCCTCCCTTGGGTTGAACAAAATTTCCCTGCTGCTGTTAATTCTCTTGTATGGAACCTGCTTCCCAATACTGGAAGTCTATATGTACAATTTACTATGTTTTATGTAGCTTTTCAGATATATACTCTCTCACAAAGTGGCACTGCCGTCAGGCTTCCAAAGACACACAAGAGAAGGGAAGAGGAGGGGTAAAGAAGCTGAAGAAGAGCAGTCATTTTAAGGCTAGAAAGAAGTGGTAAGCCATAAGTGGGTTCTGTTCACATGCATGGATCAAGCAAAAGAGATCAAGCAAAACAAGCTCTTGTTGTTGTTTTTTATAAGATATTTATTGAAATTTTCAAAGTATTACAAAATAAAATAAAAGCAGTAGAAAGTACAAAATAAAAATAGTTAACAAAGTAGAAAAAGAAGAAGGAAAAAAACAAACCCCTTCCAACCATATGAATACAAATTCAAAAATAAGAAAAAGTGACCAAAGAAAAAATACAAAAATACATCACAAACAATTAAAAACATTTAAAAACAAATTCATTATTCTCAAATCCTCAACTGTCATTACCTTCTTTCTTTGACCTCCTCCTCCTCCCTTTCTTTGTATCCTAGTTATTAATTATCCCAGCAAATCCTTTCCATATTTCATAATATTCTGTCATTACATTACCCTAAACTGTTTTAATCTTATCTTACTATAATAAAATAAACCTTAAAACTTAAAACTTAAATCTTATCCTTACCCATTTCTCATAACCAAAATATTCTTTCATAATTCTTTAAACATCTTTACTAAAGCCAAGTAATTTCATTCCAACATTTTTCTGACATTCATCAATTTTATAAAACAGTTCTAATGGTAGAAAAAAGAGATACAAACAGATCCAATCTTCATCCAACGTCCCTTCCTCCTGGTTCCGGGTTTTGTCAGTCCTTATTATCCCGTCGATCTAGCCCATTAACCTGGCAGCCTTATATCCGAGGCCCTCAAGTCTCTTCCATGTCCCTTCTGCAGCTCTTCTTCATATTTGTAACTGTATTTTCCCTTGTCTCCTGCTCGTGGTAACTCCAGCTTGACAATATTTTTAACCCTTCTCGACAGATCAGCCCCTTTTCCATATTCAACACTGAATTCCATATGGTATTTAAAAGCATGTTTCAAAGACCCTCCAAAATTAAAATTAAGAGCCCCCACAATCCCAAACATCTCACGGCCCATTGCCAGATTTGAAAAGTCCAAACATCCCAGCATAGGGGGGTCAATCCAGCCCCCCATTTCCAAGCCAAACCAAACTTTTTCTTTCCAAATCTGGCTTTTTCCAAGTTCATTTGTCAAATCCGAAAACTCATATTCCTGTTGGGCCTGTTCTGTCAGGACACACTCCTGATTTAATTCCTGAGTGGGCTCCACATATTTTCCCACTGTCTGTTCAAAATTTCCCACTGCCTGTTCAAAGTTTCTAGTCGAAGTCGCCATCCAATTCACCTTCTCATGTAACTGTTCCAGTAGGGCATTTGTTTTATAGAAAGCACACAACAAAGCTTCTGAATACATTGTCCTGCAAGGTCAGATGCCTGTTCCCACGATTGTAATCTGTAACAGCTGCCGGCTCCCTGGAGTTGGTTACAGTTTCACAGTCTCCCTCTAGGGGGAAAACTTCTATTTGTTCTTGCAACAAAGTTTCCCTTTTTGAGATACTTTGTCAATATTTGTTGCTTAAAGATGCGAAGGGAAGCAGTGGAATCGCTATGTTTCTCTTCTTTTAGCTATCTGTCAAAAACGCTTGTCTCTGGTCAATGAACTTCAAACGTCAGTCCTGACACCCCGCTCCAGGATCAGGACGGAGGAAAGTTACTTTACTTTAAACTCACTTTAAACAGTCCGAAAAAGATCCCCTCCTTCTCCTGCTGTCGAAGGGGGGTTCCACAATTTTAAATGATGAAATCCAATCCATTAAAGGCGATTTTCTAAGCTCTAGTTTACATTGTCTTTGCTTTATTCTGTCTACAAAAGAACAGAAGGCTGACTTCCTGTTTAGACCTTCCCGTTCCGTACCAAATTAAAATAGGTTTTTAAAATCCAATTCCTTTCTGCTCGCAAGTCCTTATTTGATGTCCAGTTGTTCAAAGTCTGAGTACTCACGGGTGCTTATTTTAGAGTCCAAATTGTCCCAGGAAAAAGGCAGCGCTCTCCGGCAACGGCTATGCGGCTTCGCTCCACGGAAATAGCAGTTGACTCACAGCACTGCGCCACTTCCCCCTCTTCACTTCGGAGCCCGTTAGTGGGTTCCTTAGCGAGTTGGGGGGGCGCTAAAGGTGCCCGCCGAGTCCCATGGTCACAGGCTTCATCCGCCTGTGATTTTTAAGAGGGTCCCCGCTTCGCCGTAGCGGAGAAGACCCGTTTCCCGCAGAGCTAGTCCCTCCTGTTCAGAGGGAGTCCGCCATTGCCGATGGCGCCACCCCGGAAGTCCGCCAAGCAAAACAAGCTCTTGAGGGAGACACTTGTTCATCCCCATGACTGTGCAAACAGGGTTTGGGCCATGCCCGTACCATGTAATGGAGAAGTGGGGAAGCTGTGGCCTCCCAGATGTTGTTGGACTCTAGTTCCTATCCTTGGTCATGCTGGTTTATGCCAAGTGGAGTCCAACAACATTTGCAGGGCCACAGATTGCCCATCTTTAGCATACAACGAGAAGGGGCGCACACAGAATTTGACTGGGGGTACAACCTAGCTGAACTGCTTTGGCTTATGTTGCGATGTCCAAAATGAAGACAACACACCAGTTATCCCATCCTCCCCCCTTCATCAGCTTCCTTGCAATGCTTTGTCAGTTTTGGAAAAGTAGAGATCTTGTTCGTTTTGCCTCCCTAGGAAAAGATGCCATTTAAGGAGGGTTCTCAGAAGAAGCTGCTGAGCAGATGATCCTGCACCTTTAGCACAAAGAAAGAGCAAATGCCCTGGATCCCTTTTTTTGTCTTCAGGAAGTCAGTGCTGCTAGAACTAGAGCCTGATCTATCATGAGCGCTTAAGTACATTCTCCCTAGAGCAATACCCTGGTAGATTCTGCTCAAAAAGGCCCAGCACCCACTGACAGAGCTTTCTTTGCATGTAGAAGCATACCTCCAGATGAAAATAGGGACATTTCTCACACACACTGAACTCCCCCTCCTCAGCCCCTTATTTTCACCCCCCCTGCATTTCCTATCAGAAGAAGGGTGAGTGCCCCCACCACTGCAGCAATGGGACACAGCACACACGCCCTCCACCGCCCTGAGAAAACCCCTTCATCCTGAATTAATTTTATTCTTTGATAGAGTTACAGAAAGAAAAACACCCCCCAAAATAAATTTTTAGAAAGGGGTAAGATTAGATGTGGATGCACACAACTTGGAGGGTCCTGCCCTCTGCCTTACCCTCAGCTGGTGCTTCTTGTGGGGCTGGGTCTTGGCGGCAGCAGCCTCTCCTCCTCGCCTGTTCTCCAGCAGCTGCTACAAGCTGCCCCAGAGAGAAGGCCGGCAGCAGTGGCCATGGAGAGGCCAAGGGATGCTCCCTCACAGCCACCACTGCTGTCACTCGGGAAAAGTGTCAGCTTATTCTCCTCCCTGAGCTCAGTGCTGGCAGCGAAAATAGGGACATTTTGGGATCAAATCAGAAGCCGGGGTGGCTTTTGTAATTCTGGGACTGTCCCTGGAAAATTGGAACACTGGAGGGAATGCACAAGGTCCTAGGTGCCCTTCAGATGCTCTAGGACTCCAACTCCCATCAGTCCCAGACAGCGTGGCCAGTGGTTGGGTGATTATGGAAACGGTTTCCTACCACTGTCCTAGGTTCAGCCTGTGGTATCTCAGTACAATGATGATGGAAGCCAGGATGGGGAAGAGATTGTGGATTTCCACTATCAAACAGAGTAGACACTACTGAGCAGCTTGAAGGCCCTGGCTTGGTCAAAGGCAGCTTCATGTGACCTTGCTGCTGTACACTCAGTGCTTCCCATCCTGGGCTCCCTTTCCTCCCCACCTTCCTTGCCTTGTGGAAAGCCTGATTGTTGGTGCTTTGATGGCTTCTGCTCTGCCCCATTTGGCATGACAGCCAGCCCCAGTCCCTGACCTGCCAGGTCACTGTGACTGTTCACCTCCCATAACCTGCAGTTACCTAATCGTAGATTACACTGGAAATGTAAGGAGACATTCTTCTCTGACAAGGACTTTGCTGCCAGCCTGCTTTTTAAGCTTTTGATGATGTTCTGGGAGCATTTGCTGGAAATGTGTGGTCTGGTTCACGTTATCTATGTACATCACTTGCTGCAGTCATTCTGCAGTCATCAAGTGATAGCGGGTGTGAATGTATGAATCAGCCCACAGAGATTTTATGGACTAGAGAATCACAGTGACAGTTCCAGCTGGTTTAGTTGAATTCACAGGTGCTTTATTATAAATGCTACCAAAAAACATGGACATTCTCCCTCACCCCCAGTAAAGCTTGCCTTCTCTCCAATGGGCAGCAGACAGCTTTTCATCTAAACCAATTTCCTTCAGGGTAGATTTGATTTAAATCAAATAGATTTAAATCACTAGTCAGTAAGACTTGATTTAAATCATTTTTTTAACAGAATGACTCATTCTTGCTGGTATAATTTTAATATTTACAAGATGGTTTGATTTTTGGAATAATAAATTTTCAGAGTAGTTTTTACAGTTATATAAAAAATTACTGATTTGGTTATACTATTAGAAATACATTGACAGATAATTATGGAATTATTGTGAGCTTTAATAAGTTAACTGTTTATATTTGAACTACTTTTCCACTGTACTTTATTGGAAGGAGAAAAATAATCATTTCCTTAATAACAATTTAAACAATTTATTTAAATAAAACAATAACATTATAGCATATGTATCCATGTTTGTTAACTGATGTGGTTAAACGATTTTTTTTTAACCCCTTTGAAATATACTCAGAGTCGAGAGTGGATTTCATGCTCTTTATTCAGCTCATAGTGGTGAGGAGGAATGGAATTTCCCCCAGAATGTCTGCTTTAAATACATTATTTACACAATGGGCCCCACGTGATTGGCTGATTCCGGGATTCACCTGTAGGCCAATCAAGTTGCGGATTCACTTCCACCTGGAGCTGGATTGGGTGGCTCCTGTGGACCAATCAGACTGCTGCATTTTGGATCCTATTCTCCTGGTATGTCCCACAGAGAAACTTATGGTCTTCAAATAAAAACATCTTGAAGGTCCCAGGCCACAGAGAGGTTAGGCTGGCCTCAACTAGAGCCAGGGCTTTTTCAGCTGTGGCTCCGATCTGGTGGAACACTCTGTCACAAGAGACCAGGGCCCTGCGGGACTTGACATCTTTCCGCAGGGCCTGCAAGACAGAGCTGTTCCACCAGGCCTTTGGCCAGGGCACAGCCTGACTCCCTCCTTCGGCAATCTTCGCGGAGCTCTGGCCCAATGGTTGCCAGTGGCTTGATTTGAATTAATTTTATAATGCATGATTTTAGAGTGTTGTGTTGTGTTGTACTGTTTTATTGTTGTTAGCCGCCCTGAGCCCGGCTTCGGCTGGGGAGGGCGGGATATAAATAAAATTTATTATTATTATTATTCAACTCAGTACATAACACCATTAGACTGAGTTTTAGCACACATGAAAAACTTAAAACAAATCCTTATTTCCTGATGAACAGCCTTTGGACTATAATGTAACTTAAATAGAAAACTATATTTAGAAAGAATTTTTCTCCAAAAGCATTTTATTTTAAAAATCCAATTTTAAAAATCCAGTTTTTAATATATATTTTAAAAAAACCATTGATTTTTATCCACTGATTTCCTTTCAGTTCAAGTAGAAAGGATTATGAAATTATTTAAAAACAAAACAGTTTATAGATGCAGGGAAATTAGAAAATAGGATGAAGTAGGTATGGTGAAATCTTCAAACTGCTTTTGGACCCCCAAAGTGGGTAGCAGAGAGATCTGCCCAAATGCTGGCTGTGATGATGGTGCATAAGGAAGAGGCAGACCTCTCAAAGGTGCAGGTGGGTCACCTGCAGCCTCCCATTCTCCTTGTAGGTGACCTCTAGTGCTCCTTGAAGCTTCACCATCATTCCATTCCCTAAAGAGTTCCTTCCTGCCTTTTAGTGTCCTCCTTATTCCCCCCCCCCCGGGTTTTGAAGTGCCTCTCCCCTCAATTGCTTTCTGTGTAGTTTCAGAACAACTGGAAGGGACAGTGTTTTGTTTTATATACATGTAAGTGTGTATGCTTATAGGTATCACTGCAAGTCAGCTGGGGGAGCAGAGATTATTGCTTGGTTTGTGTCCTTATTTTTATTATGCATTTTGGTTTTTATGTTGTAATTTTATGTTGTGAACTGCCCTGAAATATATGGATGAAGGGCAATATACAAATTTAATAACTAACTAAATAATAAAAACATACTCATTTCTTGGTTGTAAGGCTTGGGGAGATAGCCGTAGTGAAAAACTGAAGCAGAGTGGCCCCTTATTCCAGAGCAGTTAGAGGAGGGTCTCTGATCCAGAGTAGTTAATCCAGATCCATTGTCTGTGGCTCTGCCACTGTTAGCACACTGCATTCAGCAAATTACCCCTGAGAGTATGTGGCCTTTGATAGAAAAAAGAGATGGCTCTCTCCTGCTCAAAGGAAACTGCAGGTGAAGAGAGGGGCTGTGTGGGCCGCAGTTCTCCACAGTACTTGCGTTTCAAGGGAAGGAAGCATGGACACTTTACCTTTCCTGATACGACCCCTTAACTTTTTAGGGGGAGACGTGATTGTGCTAAAATCAGACGGAGTCTGTAGGCCAGATTTGTAGATTTAATTAAGCTCCTACTTTCTTCCTTAATTCAAGCACTGGTTATCCAGATCCCACAAATGACGGCCAACCCTCACTTTGTGTCTGCTGCTTGTCCGTTGATTTATTGATCTGGTGTCTGCATACCACAAGTGTTTGCTGTCTTTTTCCTGGAATTGAGCTGTTTTTCATCATTGCTTTTTCATCTTTTTTTTCTTTTTAATGGAGAACCATGTATTGCCTTGATTTCAGGCACCAGAGTAGAAGGTGTCTGGGCAGGAATCAACTGACTAGTCCCACCAACAGAAGACCATGCTTTGAGCGTCATAAATTTATCACCAAGCAAGTCTAACAGCCACAGCCAGGGAGGTTGTAGCTTTATGACAGTATTGGAGCCATAAGCAAGCAGAACCTCTGATGAGACAGTGCTCAAATGTGGCCAAATCTGTCACTTTAAGACCTTGAGGGGGAAATGCTCCCTAGCAGTTCCCCAACAGGAAGCACCATAGAGTATTTGGGTTGTATTCAATGCTAGTCCTATTCAGAGTAGACCCACTGAAATTAATAGTTTAAATGGGTCTACTCTGAGTAGGAGTAGTGCTGGTGACAACCCTGTGTCTGTCTAGTTCACTATATCTAATCTGCCAGTGTCTCAGGGAGTGAAAGCCTTTCCCATCACATGCAACATGATAAATTTAGCTGGAGATTCCAGGGATTCAAACTGGGACTTTATGTATGCAAAACATGTGCTCTACCACTGATCTGAAGTCCCTCTTGTTCTACCTCATTCTGCCTGTTCAAGAACTTATATTCAATCTATACTTTGATAGAAGATGAATCCTGGCACTATAGGTCTGATCCTCAATTTTTTTTAGGGAACCAAAGTCACTCTACATCTGACCCATTTGCCCCACTCCTGATGTTATTGGACGCCAGTTCCTACTGACCCCATCCAGCATGGCCAACGGTCAAGGATGATGGGATTTGTAGTCCCAACAGCATCTAGAGCCCCATAGGCTCCCCATAATTGCTGAAGTCCATTCCTCAAATACTGGGGTTTTCAAATCATCCTCATTCTATCCCCTCACTGTTCATCAAAATCTGAGTCACAGAACACACCACAAGTTCTTACACCCTCTTTTATATTCATGAGACCCACCCATTCACACTGGCAACCAAACATGTGAGCTGGTAGCTCACATAGCTATACCAACTGTGATGATATTGTGATTTGCATAAGCAGCTGCAGTTCAGACCTATTAACTACTGTCATGCGGTACGTTGATTTGATCAAGCAGATGAACACCTCCTGCCCCACATGCGCATGCAGAAATGTATAATGCTGGCTTCAAATGGCCTAAATATAATGCGTGAATTGACTCATAGTTGGCACCTGTTTATTTTTTTAAAATCTCATTATTCAGTTCCCTTTGGATACTGAGGGAGGCTTACAATTATAGAATAAAACAATACAAAACATCAATACAAAACTAGAAGCAGAGGGAAGAGATCAGCAGCAATTAAACCCTAAAAGCAGAAGATGATTCATAGGTTTAGGTAAATAAAAAATGTTCATTGCCTGGCATCCAAAATAGCACGGCTACCATGTGCCCTGCTTTACAGAGGATGGTCCTCTCTTTTAAGGAGTGTCCACTCCAAATCTGGTGTGATGATAAAGGACTCTCCAGGTGTTGTTTAACTATAGCTCCCATCATCCACAACCACAGGGCATGAAAGGACTTGGAGTCCAATAACAACTTGAAAGGTCACAGGTTCCTCATCCTTGCTGTCAAGTAGCCTGTCACTCTCCACATGGTGTCCACATATGGTCATTGATGATAGGATGGCCAGGGAGTCCAACAACATCTGGAAGGCCACAGGTCCCCCAACCCTGCTTTATGGGGAGTGCAGTGCCATCTAAGACAGACTAAACACCACTTTTCAGACTTCCTCCACCTTGTCTGGATTCAGCTTCAGATTGTCAAGCCTTGTCCAGTTAATTACTGATCCCAGGTGCTGATATGACACATGTTCTGCCTCACCTGAATTGGATGAAGTGACAAAAGAGATCTGAGTGTTTGCTCACTGATACCTCATTCCTAAGCTCCCACCTGACCTCCTCACTCAGATATTATGTTGATGTTGAACAGCATGGGAAACAAAAGAAAACTCTGCCAAACATCATTGCACAAGGTCTATGGGGCAGAACATAGTCTCCTGGCACCACGTTCTGGACACCCAGGCAGGAACAAAACCAATGGTGCATGGTGTGCCTGATCCCTAGACAGCAAGCCAAGGTGGATGCCTTGGTGGATGCTTCTGAGAGATCCTGGAGAATTGGCAGGGCCAGACTCTCCATGTCCTTTCCCCAAAATAGGCCATCTATTCGGGTGCACAAGGCCCTTTCCAGGACAAAAATAAGATTGAAATGGATCTCTAGTGTTGTCTAGAGTTGCATGACCACTCAAACCTCTTGCTCAAAAAGGGAAATTAGCAATTGGCTGATAGTTATGATGCTTCTTCAACTGAATAGATGGGAGGGCAGTTGAATAGGTTTTCTGTGGGTAAATGCCCTTCCCTGTTAAACAAGCTTTATTCATTCAATAATTTTTGCTAATTTTATCTAAAACATGCACACACCCCTTAACATAGAATACATTGTTTATGCCCTCTAGGAAACCAGATGCACTTTGGGCAAGTACATTAGCGGAGAAAGGGAGCGACTGAGCTTCCAAGACGCGGACAGACAACTGTTGCGAAATTGCTGGCAACTCTTTCCTTGGGTCCGGAATAGCAGGAGAGATCATATTTCAGGGCTGTGCAATATCCTGAGAATGAAAAAGGGCACAGGGATGCAGTGGAAAGAGTTGTAAACATATTGACCAATCTGGGGAAGGGGTGAGGAGAGTTAGAAATGCAGCTCTTCCCCAGGCCGTTTGAACCGACAGCCTGCGTGTCCCTGTCCAAGAGAATGTGCTTACTTACGATGAAGCACATAAGTGCCCAGAACTAGCAATGGAGGTGGCGGCATTAGTCAATGTAGCAAGGCACAAATTGAGGAAAACCTTACACGACAAGACAAACATGATGAGAACACTGACCTAGGATGGCGGAAGCTGCTTATCTTCATCTTTCTTTGGCTGCATATGAAGCTAGTCAGAAGAAAAGATACACCTTATCTGCCTCTGGGATCTTCAGTATGTGCTGAACCTCAGATCTAGGGCTGCAGCAAGGAGGGGGGAGCTCCTACCCTCCCTGGGACTTTTTGAGTCTGTTCCCTGAATGTTCAGCCATCACTGCTTTTCTTTTATGCCAAGCAACTTTCTAGTTTTTATGAAACTCTTTTTTTTTTGGCAAGTGAAGGCAGCATTATACCCAATTGGTTAGTAAGAAGTAAATCTGCCTCTGCACCTCCCCCTTGCTCTGGAAACTGAATGCAAAAAAGCTGAAATGAATGACAGCCACTTGGTTTTTAAATAAATCTTGTTACCTTTGTTCTTAATTTTTTTAAATCTGTTTATTCAACCACAGATAAGTATAGAAAAAAATTATAAAGTAGGATGTTCAATATGGCTTGAACAGTTTGCATTGTTCCCCCAGCCTTTCGACCACCTCGTCTACCTGACAAGCTCAATTCCTGCTTCCCTAAATTGTCCTCTTTTCTGCAGTTTGTTTACAAGATGCCAGCTAAGACACACTGTTGAAAATGGCATAAGGACCACTGAATGCTGCCTCACACCATTACAAATTTTAGCAGCGCCCTGCGCAAGGCCAAAATTCAGCACACCCACCCACCCGCCTCTGCCTTCTGTTCTGCTCAATTCACTATGTCATCATAGTGACACCCTGTGGCATCCCCTTGGCTCAGCACCCAATGTGGCGGATCCGGTCACGCTGCCCTAAATCTGCCTCTGCTTACACTGAGTCAGACCCTCAGTGTCTGTAGCTCCATGTGGTCTATGCCAGAGGTGACTAACCTGTCACCTTCTGGATGCTGTTCCCATGATTTTGAACTGGAGCCACCGCAAAATAATTGGGGGAAAGGCATCCATCGAGCATTCTTTAATGTTTGTGCAGCACCTTCCAGGAGGAGAAGCTGGCCTTGTTTGAAATGGCTGGTAGCAAATCTGGGAAAGACTCCAGCAAGACTAAGACCAAGTCTGTGTCCCATTCACAAGGGGCTGGCTTACAGTTTCTGGTGGGCCATATTCAGCGGCATCTGAAATCAAGGACTACCAGTCATGGACGTGTGGGAGCTATAGCTGCTGTGTTTAGTGCTGCTATCTTGGGGTACCACACAGATGAAGAACTGGATTCCCTAATCAAAGCAACCATTACTGGTGCAGGTGCAATTCCACATATCCACAAATCTCTCAGTGGAAAGACAGGATGGGAGCTAGAGTAGTACAACCGCTGGAGGACCATGGGTTTCCAACCCTTGCGCCAGAGCAGGCATGGCCAAACTTGGCCCTCCAGCTGTTTTGGGATTATTAATGCCCATCATCCCTGACCACTGGTCCTGTTAGCTAGGGATGATGGGAGTTGTAGTCCCCAAACAGCTGGAGCGCCAAGTTTGGCCATGCCTGCGTTAGAGAGATGGAGCCCAGAAACTGGTGCTTATATATAAATGCACACAGGTCATATGTTCTGTTGCTAATTTCCTGACTGGTTGGCTTATCTGTTTTCTCTCCCCACAGAACTAAATCTTGTAGGTGTAACATCCAAAAAGCATTTCTCCATGCAACTTCTTATGGCATCATCAGAGGCGTAGCAAAGTCAGGTGGTACCCAGTGCGATAAAATTTTTGCCATCCCCCCACATCAGCGGCTTGGGGTAGGCTTGGGAGTCACAGGTGGGCGGCATGCTGAATGTCACCCCCGGGCACGCCGCCCACCTGTGACTCCCAAGTCTCCCGCAAGCTGTCAAAATGAAGGCAAAGTGGCACAGCTCTCCCCTTCCCCCGATGGCTCTGGGTAGTCTTGGAAGTTGTGGGTGGGCGGTGCACAGAATGTCACCCCCTTCAGCAATGACACCCGGAGCGGTCCGCTCTCCCCTCCCCCGCCCCCCTTCCTACGCCTCTGGGCATCATGAATCCTTAGAAACACAGAAGCTGCCTTATACTGAGTCAAACTAGTTGGTCTACCAAGCTTAGTATTGTCTATGTTGGCTGACGGTGACTCTCTGGGGTTTCGGACAGAGTTCTGTTCCAAGTCTTTCCCGTGTAGGCCAGGAATTGAAATGGAGGCCTTCTGCATGCCAAGCATGTGCTCTGCCACTGAACTGCAGATCTGCTGCTTGGGTGCAACTGATTTGAAGTCCTGCTGCTGCTTTCAGTAGGACTTGGTCCTGAGGACCAGCTGTACCTTGGTTATGTGCTTGAGTGTTTCCTCATTTTTACATTCACTTCTGAAGGCCTCTTCAATATTAGCCACACAAAGTCCAATTCACACATTCACTCACGCAAAGGCCTACAACTGCCCTTTTTGGCTGCTGGAAGAAGTCAGAACAATGGTTAGAAAGACTGCCCATTTGTCAGTTTTGGAGTTTTGCTGCCCTGAAGCCTTAATTCTGTGATTGTCTGGACCCCTAGCCAAGAAACAGTTTCTTGGGTCTGATTCTCTCACCCAAAAGCAGCAGCTAGTGATGTTTCCTATTTGTGTAAAATTGCAGAATGGTGGCATGAGCTTTTCCAGTAAGGCAGCTGGCTATCTTTCAAAGCCAAAGTAAGACACCTGCCATATATAGATCATCAGCACAAAATTAAGCTGATGGCATTAGCCACCACCAGCTGCAATGATGGCTACCAACTTGGGATGTTGTGTGTGGTGCAATGGTTGGAGTGTCGGGCTAGGACCTGGGAGACCAGAGTTCGAATCCCCACTTGGCCATGAAACTCGCTGGTTGACCTTGGCCCAGTCACCATCTCTCAGCCTAAGCTACCTCACAGGGTTGTTGTAAGGATGAAATTGGGAAAAGAACCATGTACACCACCTTGAACTCCATGGAAGAAAAGTGGTATATAAATTTTAACATAAATATCAAAACAATGTGAAAATGAATTGATATAGAATTTACAGACTTGAACAGAGCAAGTGACTGAATGGACTAGATGGCTAGACTAGATGACAGTTTGGGTCCCTTTAAACTCTGTGTTCTATGAATACCAATCATATGCACTTGACTGCTTTTGTAACCACAAACTGCAGCAATTTCCGCTTCCTTTTTCCATTTTTCATCAGAATTCTCTGACATCCCTACTGGAGAATTGCATGTTCCCTGTACCTACTCCAGCCTCAAAAACAACTAACCCAGCTGCTGTCCTATTCAGATAGCAAATGAAATGCTCTTTGTGCCACATGCCCCTTTGTCTTTTAAAATGGCAGAGCTGTTGAGAGGCAGGATGGGGGAGCAGGGAGGGAGGAAGAGAAAGCAGTGAAGTTGAGGACAGGGCGCAATCCCACTGGGCCCAGCTTCGGTTCCCAACATGGTTATGACCGTATGTGTGCAGAGTGTTCTCAATAACACTGTGGGGAGCAACATCGCATCTGCTTTAATGCGTGTGCGTACACACACACACACACGCACACTGTTTGCTCGCCCTCCTTCTCCAATTAGTCTCAGCGCCGGCCGGGTGTGGTGGGGTTGCCCTCACCAGCAGGAGCCGGGGGAGAGAGTCCCAGCCACCTGGCAGGCTCCTCTGCCTTGCCTGGTGCCTTGTTGTTTGCTCTGCATCTTGCTGTGTGCGGAAGGGCATCTGAATGTCTCCCGAGGAATGTGCTGCAAAACAGCTGAGCTCATCCTTCTCCTGCTGCACTCAGGAGACTTCTGCCGGTGGCTTCTTTTTGGTTGTTTTGTTACATGATGCCATGAGCAGTTTGCTTTGCGACAAGGGGGGTGTATTATTTATTTTTCTTCTAAAAGAGTAAAGGACAACGGAGAAAGACCAGCCCCAGAACCCATTTTCAGATCAAACTATTCTTCTGGCAAAAGACAAAGGGCTGGAAGAGGAAGTGTGTGCCTGAACATGTGCAGAGCCCTTTGCCATAAGGAGAAGCCACCCTCCAATCTGAGACTGAGTGATCTCAAAGTCTGGCTTTCGTGCTGTTGGAGGCAGTGCGCTTTTCTGAATAGCCATTGCTGGAAATGCCAAGATGGGGAGAGGGGCTTTTGTGCTCTGCTTGCCGCCTCCAGAGAGGCATTTGGTTGGAGGGCAGGATGTTGGTCTAAATGGGCCACTGGCCTGATTCAGCAGAACTTCTTACACTTAACAAGAACTGGCCACCTTCAGAAGTTTGGACCTGGCACCTTTCATGCCCTCCCCAGGAAATAAATTAAATCCTGGCATCTGGGCCATAATCCCCTCCCCTCCCCTCCCCCATTTCCCTTCCATTATGGAGGCTTGCACTATCTCCTGTACACCTTGTCCTCACAGGTCAGGCAATGCACATGTCTTTAAAAAGGTTTTTAATAGAATTCTAGGCACCAGGAATGGAGAAATTCCCACTCGCCTGAGAATTAGAATTATTTGGGAAAGCCTGTTTTTGGCCAAGCTAGGTATTAATTTAATTGTACAGTGTGCCACGCATCAATTTCTCCCCCACCCCTTCAATCTTTATTTAATTGTGGGCACAGGTGGCGCTGTGGTCTAAACCACTGAGCCTAGGGCTTGCCGATCAGAAGGTCGGCAGTTTGAATTTCCTCAATGGGATGACCTCCCATTGCTCGGTCCCTTCTCCTGCCAACCTAGCAGTTTGAAAGCACGTCAAAGTGCAAGTAGATAAATAGGTACCACTCCGGCGGGAAGGTAAATGGTGTTTCCATGCGCTGCTCTGGTTCTCCAGAAGCGGCTTAGTCATGCTGGCCGCATGACCCGGAAGCTGTACGCCGGCTCCCTCAGCCAGTAAAGCGAGATGAGCGCCGCAACCCCAGAGTTGTCCGCAACTGGACCTAACGGCCAGGGGTCCCTTTACCTTTTACCTTTTACTGGGATGACTTACTCTTCTTTTACACATCAGGACTGCTGCACATGGGGAGAAGAGGTTTAACCCTTCCATCTCCAGCTGCAATCACAGTAAAATGTTTCCCTCTTCACATGAATCTTCATGGCGGACCCACAAGAGTTATTTTCTAAGCTATGGCTGCGTGTGTTCAATTTTTTGTGTGTAAATAATTTTGATTGGATTTCTAGAAGTAAATATATCCAGATCTAAATATATCCATAACACCCCCTGCACCTCCCAGTCTCACCAGCTTTCTGGTAAGTATTAATGTCTTTAAGATATGCCTTCCTCTTTTAATTTTCCTACAGGCTTCTCCCATGTGACTCCATCAGAGTTGTATGGAAGCATCCATCCACTGTGTATGCGATCGTAATTATGATCCCACATGGAGAGAAAAGGATGGAACATCCCTTCTGCCCATGATGGAGTCCTGATCCCATGGAGTCCTGCCTATCCCATGCCTGTAATTAAACAAAGAACAAAAAACCCCATAGCTGCCGTGACTTCTTACACAATTAAAGTAATGTGCCAGTTTGGGCAAAAAAGTCTGTTTTCTTCCCAAACGTCTGGCAGCTGAGGCAACACTCCTCCCCCACCCCAAATTTTAAAAATGGTAGGCACATTTCATTTACACCAGGAAAGTGTTGTTATTGTTATTATTATTTTTAAGTCTGTAGCAATCATTTCCCTGCTGTCAGAGGAGCCTGCCCTGTCCTTTGTTTCTGTTCTGCATGTGATTCTTGACTGTAAGGGGGCTAGTCTAGAAGAGCTGCCTTGCGCACAGATGCAGAGGTAGCCTGCCCTGTGTGGATGGGGAGGGGCGAATGCTGCTGTGCGTCTATTATCCGGAGTAATGAAAGGATGCAGCCACTGCCATTGGAAAGAGGCACAATAGAATTTCCCTTCCCAGCGGAAGCTGATTGGATGGAGACATTGCCAGAGGCCTGCATCATGCAGAGAAGCAGCAGGCAGCCTCTGTTATTTGGTGGGCGGGCAGGAGAAACACTGAGCTCACAGGAGCCTTTTGTAACTTCATATCAGAGCATACTTGGGAGTTCTTTCACAGCTTTTTGTCTGGGAATTAAGTGATTGATTTCCCCTGCCTGCTTTTTGTTTGTGTGAATTGGTATGCTGCCCTATGCCTGCTGATTTCAGTAGTTCAGATTTCCTTGCACACTTTCTAACCCTTCCGGTCCCCTCCACTCAGTGGTAGTAGATGGCTTGCTTTTGCAATGCATGCGGAAAGGTCCAGGCTCGATCCTTGGCATCTCCAACCTAAAAGAGTTTGGGGCAAAAGGGCTGAGAGAAGGCCTCTCTGTGGAGACCTTGGAGAGCTGCTGCCAGCCAGAGTAAACATCACTGGGCTCGATGTTAAAGTGGCCTTCCTTGACCCTGTGGTCCTCCAGACACAGTCCAACACCTCCTCCCACCATCTCTGATGATAGGGCTGATGGGAGCTGCAATAGTCCATCAACAGGAGGGTACCACATTGGAGGAGACTGGCACTACCCTAGGGCAGCAGCTTTTGACAGATATGACATCCTTTTAATCAACGGAACTGATAACCTCCCTTGCCACTGTATTTTTCTCCCCTACTCAGATCTACTGACATAAATATGCAGCCACACACATATAAACACTCTCCTCAATTCCTACTGGGCAGAGGCCATAGTGGGGTTCCAGAATATGTGCTCTATCTGCAGGATGCCCCAGGTTCAGTCCCTGGCATCTCAAAGCAGAAGGGACCTCCTAGCACAAGAGTGAGCAGCCTGTGGCTGGATTTCACATGGGGGGCCAGGAGGGGGGAATAGAGGATGGAGTGGCAAAAAGAGAATGCAGGGAGGGGAGGAGCATCCTGCCTGCCACTCACTGTGGCTCCACCCACTACCAGCAGGCAACTCTTGATAGAAAAGTGCTTTAGCTCTTCTGTTAGGCAGGGGTTCTCATGAGAAGCTGGAGCCGCTGCTTTTTGTACCATTAGTCTGACTGACCCGGGAGCTCCTGCATGCAAAGGGTGTGCCCTGCTGATAGTGTGGGACCATAGAATTGTAGAATTGTGCAGTTGGAAGGGACTCCAAGAGTTATCTAGTCCAACCTCCTGCAATGCAGGAATCCTGCCCACAACCATCCCTGGGTTAGCACCAACCTTCTGGTTAACAGCCAGGCACACTGACCCATTGCGCCACTAGGGACCAGGAGGGTTGCAGAGCAGCCTCCAGTGGTGGCAGGTGTCCATTGGGACCAGTAGGGTGGAAGGCAGGAAGACCAGTGGGAGGCAGAGCTGCAGCCAATGACAGCCAGCTGATTCTAATGTCCCTCCCCCCCCTCCAGTTTTCTATAAGGGCAACACTGAGGCTAAGCAGGGAGAATATTGACAGCCAAGGCCATCCCCTGTGCTGGTTGTAAATAAGAAGGCAGGCAGGTGGGGGTGGGGGACTGAGGGCATGCTTACATTATTGCTTGCTCCACATCTAAAGCACACCCCCCATTCATTTCTGAAGCTACATTCACACAACATTAGCCACAATCCATGTCAGTTCTGTAGTTTGTCTGCAAATACTGCTATTTGTCATGATTCTGCCCTATAATTTCATTCTTGCTAGAAAACTGGGAGGTGTGTAATGGGAAGATAACTGTACAATCCCAATGCATGGGCAGATGAGTGCACATGAGCCATCAACATCTTCATGAATGGGAGAGTGTGGGTTGGGGGTGGCAGGGGCAGGGAAATCAAAAAGACCTTGCATGCCAGGTGAAGACATCTCTGATGTGAACAGCACACCTTGAAATGCAGGCTGTGTGTGAATGACCTCACTGCAATTCATGCCACTCACGTGAACCTACCCTGAATTTGGTACCCTACTTGCCTTAAAAGTCTAGCCTCCACTTGCAGCCTTTTAAATGTCTTTTATTTCCCTTCATAAGCCACCTTGCCCAGGCCCCATCCTTTCCTTGCTCTCAAACTATCTCCAGCAGCCAACAGCTGTATAGATTGCTCCTTTGTAAGTGCCTGCAAGACACCTCCTAACAGTTACAGGCTGGGAACAGCAGAGTTATTTCAGAGAGGTGGGAAATGGTGCCACAGAGGAATGGTTGCCTGTGGCGCATATGTGGCACATAGGCTTATTTCTTCTATCCCATTCTCACTTCTGGTCAAACAGCTTTGTTCTTGAGGAGGTGCAAAAACCCCTATTTATCTGAGATGACACAGAGGTGCAAGTAAGCTGCACGAGCAACAATGCTTCCATCACAGACCACTTTCAGCCCTCTTCTGAAATCAGTGCTGTCCATCGCTGCCTGCAAGCAGTTTCACCAGAAGCAGTTTAGTCATGCTGGCCACATGACCCAGAAAAACTGTCTGCGGACAAATGCCAGCTCCCTTGGCCTGTAAAGCGAGATGAGCGCCACAACCCCAGAGTCGTCTGCAACTGGACTTAACTGTCAGGGGTCCTTTACCTTTACCTTTTCAAGGTGCCTTGGAGAGGAGGAAGGAAAGGTGGAAGGAACACCCCCCTCACCCAGTGAGGGCGCCATGACCTCAGAACTTGAGAAGAGAGCTCTTCTGGATCAGGCCAATGGCTCATCTAGTCCAACCAGATGCCTGTGGGATGCACACAGGCAGGACCTGAGCAGAAGAGCACTGTCTCCTGCTCTGGTTAAGGTCTCCCCAAATCTGAAACTAGCAGAGCGGAGGTTGGTTTTTTCCTTTTCTTTTTAAAGCCAGTTCTCAGACCTGAGAGCCATGTGGATGAACTCTAGGCAGCTCTTGAGCTCTCGGGGCAGCGACTGGCCCATGCGCAGGACAAAGGCAGTGAGTGGGTGAGGGGTGTGTAAGCAGAGAACTGTTCCAGCCCTTCTCTTCTGCACCTCACCTGGGGAGAAAGAGGGGAGAAAGCGGCAGCATCTTGCCTGCCTGGCGTGTGGGGAGGAGGCAGCCGACAATTTAATTTGTTTGTTTTTGTATATGGATTATTATTATTATCACTATGCTAAAGAGCAGTGATTAGACTGAATTTGTTTAAATAATTAACTCAGCCTCTTTTGCAGTGATTGCCTCCAGTTTTGGGTTGCAGCTTTTATTTCTCAAGGGGGAGGGTGCTGGTTCTTCAGCTGCTTTCCAGCATTGATGCAACAGTGCAAGTTCTGATGTCGCATTGAGTGAAGCAGTCATTGGGCCCAATCCAGCCTGACTGAGCCATAGCTTTGGGGCGGGGGGCTAGCCAGGTTTTTTGCCCTGGATGAAGCCTCCAGAGGGGTACCCTTGAGGCTCCCAGCCTCTGTGTGTGTGCGGGAGTTGCCAAACTGAGTCTTTGATCCGGGTGAAATGAAGCCTGGTTTTGCCCCTGCTGTGCAGCATCGAAGAGGGTCAGGGCTGGGAGTCTGCCTGCCTTACATGGGCCTGTGCATGCAGGCATGGGCACATGCGCATGCGTGCACACACAGAGGGAAGTGAACTCTGGCAGGCTACTCTTGGCGTTCCCCGTTGTGATGATTGGCCTCAGTGGTAATTGACAATCAATGTCGGAAAATGGTCTAAAAATAGCAACGGGAGCAGCAGCCATTCCAGTTCCAGTCTCCAAATGGGGCTCTTTGCTGTGCCAAAATGGAGATGCAGTCAGGGAGTAGGGCTTAGGGTGGGGGGGGGAGGCAAGCTAACCAGCACAGCCTTGAGGGCACACACACACACACACACACCCCATTAGGGAGGGCTCTTAGAACCCAGCTCTGGAAGGAGAGAGTAGTACAGCCAGGGGAAGTATGTTTTATTCCACAGTTTCACAAGCAGCCTGTCCAAGAATGGATATTTGGCTTTGTTAGCCAGCCATCCTGTTGGCAGACCAGGTTATGCATCCCTTCCCACACCCGAAAAGGACTTAAATTTGCAACAGACTTGCATAGGGTAATTTATATGTATAGATGCATATTCAAAAATAATTACTCTTATTTAGAGCAGAGAAGATGTAGGGGGATCTTTATGTGCCTGCTCCCCCCTTTTGTGGTTTATCCTTAAAGGGGACAGCCTGGAACAGCTTCAAACAGAGGGCTTTCCTCTAAGAGCCCTTCAAAAAAGAGGACTGCCTCTATAAGGTAGGACACACGGAACCAGGTTGCTTTTGCAAATGGGATTGAGGGGGAGTGATTTTCCATGACCTCTAATCAGGTAGTGTAGCCAACAGTGGCAACTGACACTCTCTCTCTCTCTCTCGTTGATGTAGGGAACCCACCAGAGCTATACACACCCTTGTAGATCACAATTTCCCTACCCCCTCAAATGCTTTGCTTACAATGACCTTCTGGGGGCCACGAAATAGTGGCTTCAGGCCAGTGACCATGGCTGTGCCCACCAGGGGAGATCTTCCTGGCAGGCTAAGTATATCACTCCACCCCACCCACGGACAAGGGGGGGGGCTAAATAGGAAGGTATCAATGCCTCCCATGCTGCATAAGTAAAGGTACATGCAACATTCACCCTTTCCTGCTCCGATTTGCCCCCATTCAGAATCCAGCATACTAAGAACTTTTTCAAACTACCAGAACTTAAGCTGCTCTTTCTTGACCTTGGGTCCACAGATGTTGTTGAACTATAACTCCCATCATCCCTGACCAGCTAGGTATGGTGGGAGTTGTAGTTCAACCAAAATCTGGGGACCCAAAGGTTGAAAAAGCTGCCATAAGGTTTTAAATAGCTGGCAGGCAGTAGTTGAAAGCATGTGCTCAGTGGCTGGTAAAAACATGGAAGCTGGCAGTGTGCATGTGCAGAGGAGAACTAAGAGGAAGTAGGCAGTGAGCCTTTGGAGCAGGGGTCCTCAGACTACGGCCTGCCCGGCCATTTTAGAACCCGCCACAAAGTCCAAGGCTGAAACGCCTTCTGACTTTTAGAAGACATCTGAAGGCAGCCCTATTTAAGGAAGCTTTTAATGTCTGGTGTTTTATTTTATTTTTAATATTTTGTTGGGAGCCGCCCAGAGTGGCTCGGGAAATTATTATTAATAATAAAAATATTAGGCTCTTTGCTTCTCCCTTTGTGGGATATGAACATATTTCATGCAAGCATCAGATCTGTGCCTGTGTATGCGCGCGCGCACGCATGCGCGCACACACACACACACACGGGCAAGGGCCATAGCTCAGTGGTAGAGGATCTGCTTTGTTCAATCCCTGGCATCTCTAGGGAGAGCTAGGTGAGACCCCTGTCTAAAACCCTGCGGAGCTTCTTCCAGTCAGTGTAGACAGTACTGAGCAAGACAGACCAAGGGTCTGGCTTGGTATAAAGCTGCTTCCTGTATTCCATACATAACATATTTATTCAATATCTCTGGATAACTTACACAAGTCACTTTTTCATTCTGCAGACATTTGCCTCCTCTTCCTCCTCCTCCTCCTTCTTTGCACAGAGTTTACATGTTCCTGGACATAATCTAGGAATGGAATGTCTGTTCAACACAGAAGGCACTATATTGAATTGCCTATAGACTCTGGAGACCTAGGAGAGGGGTGATGACATTGTGGAAGAGCACAGGCTTTGCGTATCCCCCACCCGCTCCCACTCCAAGACTGAATCCCTGGCATTTCGAGTTAAAGGATGTCCAATTTCGGAACCTGGGAAGAGAGTCTGCTAATCAGAGTTGACAGTGCTGGGTGAGATGGGACAGGCCAACCAGTCTGACTCAGCACTCATGTCCATATACATGAAAATCTCTGGATGGCTTTTATGGGGACAGTGCATGTATTTCTCTCACTTGTGCCCATCCTTGAAAACCTGGATGACCCACCAACCTGGATGATGGGCAAGGCAACAAATGATAATTTTACCTTTGTCCAGTAGGCTAGTTTCCATGCACACTCACACACCCCTCTCTACCATCCATCCAAGAGTCCTTCAAGGACACATTCCAGCCAGGGCAAAAACACTCAGGGTGTGATGCATGGTCAGTGGGGGGTCTAGCCTGGGGAGGGTTCCTGGAGGGACCATATTTGGCCCTTTGGCTTGAGGTTTCCCACTCCTGCTTAAAAGAGTCTCTAGTACTCTGACAATTGGGGGGGGGGCAGGAGAGAGCCTAGAAGAGGTGCACTGGAGTCACTCAAGAGAAGCTGCTCACTAGGAGCTCTCCTTGGTGCTGCAAAGATGATGCTGTCATGTCCTGTGGGTTCCACCTTGGGACCAGAAATGGACAGTTGCAGCAGAAACAGCAAAGATGTCCTTGTGGTATCTTTAAAGACTGTAAGGTTTCAAAATGGCAGGGGCTTTTGTGGTATAGGAAGGCCCTGAGAGTCTCTGGCTATGCTTTCTTCTCCCTCCCTCTGAGATATGTGGAAAACGTTTTTGCGCATATGTTCCCAATTACTTCTGTTTTTTTTTAAAATGATATTTATTAAGATTTCAAAGAGAAGAATTACATAAGTAGAGAAAAAGAGAAAAAACAAGAAAAAACAAAAACAAAAGACAAAAGTAAAAATATAACAAAAATACAAAATACAGAAAAAAAGAATAAAAAACACTTTAAAAATACATCAATCTTTCCATGCCTTACATTCATTTCCTTGCTTCCCTGACCTCCTCGTACCTCCCTTTTTTGTATTCCAATTCAATTAGTTAATTCAGCAATTTCTTTCCCTCTTTATTTTCTCTTAATCCTTTAACTTAATATACTATAACTTTGGATTTTCACCTGTTAACAGTCCATTTTTACATACACCTTTATAGCATTGCTGCTTAAACCACTTAACTTCATTCTAACATCATTCTAACATTCATTAATTTTGCAATATTTCTGTCTCTGACCTACCCATGCTGATGAGCATGGGTGTCAAAGGCCACTTCTTAAGTCTCTGCATCAGATCCCTGACCCTGTAAGGTTAATTGATTCAGAAATGGGGAGGTACGCCTGCCTTTTAAAAGGGGCCTGTTTGATTGGTGAGGGGGAGGAGCGGGGGAGAGAATGAATTATTTTCCACAGAATTCAGTTTGACAGATAGGAAAGTCCCCAATGCCTTGTGGGATGTAAGAAACATGACATCAACTTTTACCCTAACACAATGAAACAAAACAGGGGGTTTTTTGTATCCTGCACCAGGTGCTCCTCTGAGCAGGATTCCCCCAGAGGGAGCATAAGTTACATTATCTTAAGAGGTGTTCAGATGAGTGCAGTTTTGAAAACTTCAATGCATTTTGAAAGGTTTGTTAAAGGTGCTGGAAATTGTAGCTTTGTGAGGGATAAACTACAGTTCCCAAGATGCTTCAGGGAATATAATGTGCTTTAAATATGCTGTGTATATGGAGCATGTGTTTGGCTCCTCAAGCTCTCCACCTCCACTTTGTCTTTGGTGCAAGGTCCTTCTTCATCTAAACCTCTTAGTGCACTAGCAGACCCAAACCTCTGGTTCCTGGTTTATTTTCAGCTCCTGTAACAATTCTTACGGCCCTTTGTTGCAAAGGTCTATTTCTTTCAAAAACCTGGCCCTTGGAAGGATAATATAAAATATACACCTAACTGAGTGTTATCCACAAATATCTTGTGTGTGTGGATAACGATGTCAAGCGTGCCCCTAGTCTGGCACCCTATGCATTGAGTGCAAACATTAAAAAAGAGACACTTAGCGTGTAACTGCCTGAATGTGCACAGGTGTTCCATGTGTCAAGGATCCCTTGCACTGAATTAGGAAACTCTTTCAAGTGTCTTTAATTTTCTGCAGCTTGTGCTGTCTCCAGAAGGAATCTGGGTTACCTTGGTCCTGAATTTCAATGTGTTTGGGACTGGCTATAATAATAACATGGTTCTGTTAAAGCAACAGAGCAGCAGCTATCAGTTCTACTTCTTTATGCTTGGGTAGCAGAGGTTGGCTCCGTCTGCCAAAAATAGGCTTCTGAAAATTGGAGCTTGCAAAGACTAGCCGCATCCTTAGATTCTGAGCACTTTACGAAAAAGCGAAGTGTTTGTCTGGGAGAGGGAGGGCAATGTGGAGGGAGGGGTTCCTCTCTCTCTCTCTCTCTCTTGGCCAATAGTAGCTCAGGGAGATGCTCAGAGCAGGACTTGCAGGTGTCCAGGGCCACCATAAGCAGGATGAGCAAAAAGAGCCAGCCAGTGCAGCAAGGCTGGATTATCAACATTTTGAAATGAACGATGCCATCTATAGACCCCTCCCCTTCCTGCTCTTGTAATATTACAAAGTCCTGAGCACCACCACAAGAAGGAATAGCATAAACAACTCCACTATCAGAGGCAGTATGCCCCAGGGGCCAGAAGAGCCGTAGCCCAAGTGCACAATTTTGAGGGGGCATGAACTAGGTGCCCCTCCCCCAGGGATCCCCGTCCTGCCCTGACTGCCGCTGAGGGTCTCTGGGCCCTGGAAGGTGGGCAGCCTGGCCTGCCACTGTGCCCCCAGCTCCCTCACTGAATGGCCACCCAGCCAATGTCAAGGGGCATTTGCCCACCAAGGGCGCTTGGCTCCAGTGGCGAGGGCTGGGCTGGCGCAGTGGGCTCTGCATGCCACCCTCACTTGGTGTGTGTGCACCTGGCACAGCAGGCTCTGTTCACCCTCTGTACACTTCCATGCACATGCACCCTGCACATGCAAATGCCGCAACACGGTTGGTATGCCCCAGAATACCAGTCACTTGGAATCACAAGTGAGGAAAGTGGGCATGTGAACTGCTGGCCTCCATTTGGGAAGCGGTGAATTTGAGGTAGTATGTGGCCTTTGGCCTGCGAAGTCTGTCTGGCAGACTGGCTGGAATGCCCGACTTTGGTCATGGTAGGCTTCAGTCTGGAATATCTGCTAACCCAGGAAGTTTACTGGGTAGCCCTGGTGGAAAGTCATTGCTTCTCTGCCTAATAGTCTACCTTACAGGGTTGTTGGGTGGATAAAATGACACTCCCTGCATCCTCCTCTGAGAGGGAGCAAGATACAAGGAGGAAAGAGCAAAATGTCACACATGGGGGTTTATTCTCTTTTTATGTGGCACTCCATGTAGGTGTGAACTCTCTGTAAGTGTGAACTTTGAGGCTTTTCCAGGCCTTGTTACTCACAGGGCATCAATTCCCGTTTGAAGCAAGACAGAATGAAAGCAAGAGAGAATGCTCCTTGCGCAAGCAGGCAGACAGGCAAGTAGGACACTCTTTCTTCCCCATGGCCAAAATAAATGGGACAAACTGTGGCTGGTATTCCCTTTAACTTATTCCTTTTCTAAGGGAAACAAAGGTGTTTCATCAATATGGATTTTAAAAAAGGTTGCTTAGCAAGGAAAGCTGGTGGTGTGTGTCAACATCCCCCTCCCCTCGGCTGCGGACTCCCCCTCCCCTGACTTCTGCTTCAGGCCAGGATGAAATCTAATCTCTCATCCCTTGGCTTGACCTTGCATTACTGAGGGAGCCATAAGTAAAACGATCTCAGCTGATGGGCCAAAGCTCCTCTGGCTAGGGGTGGGGGTGGGAGTGTCAGGGCCCCTCCTTGTGGAGAGAGAGGGCGGTTGGAGGGCTATTCATAGCCTCTTTCCTGGCAACCATTTGGAACAGGGCAAGTTGAACATGGCTCTTTTTCATGCGTAGAGGCCACTACGTGTGGAGGGGATTCTTCAGGGCCCTGTGAACCTATCTTAGCACCAAATCAGTTTGTTGGCCTGTCTACCCTGGCACAGTTCAACCTGACTGGGCAGTCATTTCCCCAAGTTGCCAGGGGAGGGGTCTTTCCCCCCAGGCTTGCAGACTTTTGATGCTTTTAAGTAGAGGTGCCAGGGATAGAACATGGGTTTTTTGCATGCCACACAGGGGCAACCCAAGACTTTTGGCTGCCTGAAAAACAAAATAAGCTGCCTTATACTTAATCAGACTATTGCTCCTTCTAGTTGAGAACTGCCAACACTGACTGGCAGCAGCTCTCTGCGGTTTCAGGCAGGGAGTCTTTCCCATACCTACCTGGAGATGTCAGAGTTTGGACCTAGGACTTCATGCATGCAAAAGGTACCACTGAGCTGTGGCCCATCCCAAAGGCAGAGGACAAGATGGTTTCTCTCTCTCTCTCTCTCTCTCTCTCTCTCTCTCTCCCCCCCCCCATACCCACCCATTTATTCCATGGCTGATGCTCTGTTGTAGGTGCTGTGTAAGGAGACACATTCACATACTCTGAGATAGCAGAGTACAAAAAACCACTTGGTTTCATACATCTTATATAGCTCTACAGTACAGTGGTACCTCGGGTTACATACGCTTCAGGTTACAGACTCCGCTAACCCAGAAATAGTACCTCAGGTTGAGAACTTTGCTTCAGGATGAGAACAGAAATCATGCGGCAGTGGTGCGGCGGCAGCGGGAGGCCCCATTAGCTAAAGTGGTGCTTCAGGTTAAGAACAGTTTCAGGTTAAGAAGGACCTCCAGAACGAATTAAGTTCTTAACCCCAGGTACCACTGTATTAGCACTACTGCCAACCAGTAACAATGGGCCCGATTCACCTACGTTGTTGCACTAGTGGAAGCCAATGCAATGAGTCCCATTGATACAAGGGGTTTCCCCCTCACCCCACCTGTCAAAAAGCTGATTGGGAGGATCAGGAGAACCCCCAGAACAGGATGTATGCCTAAATGCTTGTGTGGATGGAATAATCCCTTTAGTACTACTTTGAATTCCACCCATTAATAGTAACTACACTTACTTTGCAACTACCAGATTGCATATAATTACATAAACTGACCAGATTTTACTGCAATGCCAGCAATCATAGAATCATAGAATAGTAGAGTTGGGAGGGACCCCGGGGGTCATCTAGTCCAACCCCCTGAAATGCTGGGATTTGCGCCCAACATGGGACTTGAACCCGTGACCCTGACATTCAGAGCTTCCTGCTGGGGGGAATGGTGTACTTCAATGAACCTCAGTGGAGCAGGTTAGTTTAGGACTGTGTGACAGGCCTGTGAGACACACAGATCTGATCTCCAACAGTGGAGAATAGCTCAGGAGGAATTGGGGGGAGGCTGCCCCCTGAAATGATTGCCACACTCTGCCTTGGCGGTAGGGTAATGCCATTTACCCTCTGGCTGGAGCTAAACCCCTTCCCCTTTGAAATATACTCAGAGTTGCAAAGTGATTTCATGCTCTTTATTCAGCTCATAGTGGTGAGGAGGAATGAATGAATGTCCCCTCAAAGTATTTGGATCCTATTGTTCTAGGACCAATCAGACTGCTGCAGTTTGGATCCTATTCAACTCAGTACATAACACCCCTCCCCTCTAAGTTCCAGTCCTGCCCGGGAGGTCGCATTCATAGTCCTCGAGGTACGCCGGCGGCCTACGTGTGCGTTGCGGCCTGGGGAGTTCCCTGGTCCGGGGTTCAGGTTCTGGCTCGTGTTCCAAGGATGCTGGCTGTGATGGGCCTGTTTGGTCTGGCGCAACCGGCTCACTCAGTCGTGGTTCTGGTTCCGGCGTCCTTTCGGCCTCGCGGGTCCTCTCTGTATTTACTGATTCTGCCTCTCCTGCTGGCCCCTCCTGCTCTATGGGCCTCACTGCCCCTCTGTTCCCTTGGGACTCCTCTGACCTTTCCTCCTCCTGGTTTTCTCCTGGGAATCGTCGCCGTATCTGGTCGCAGTGGCGGCGCCAGCATTGCCCCCCATCCGTTAGCACCTCGTACGACACGGGGCCAGTGACCCTGGTGACTGTGGCGGGTACCCATGCTGAGCCTGCCCCAAAATTATTTGCGTACACTGGCTCCTGGGCCTCGAAGGTCCGGGGGTTCCTGCCTTCCCCCACCACTACCTCATCCTGAGCTCTATCGGGGTGAAGGCGGTCCAATCTGATTGCAAGGCGCCGACCCATTAGTAGTTCAGCGGGGCTCCGGCCAGTCGTTGAGCTGGGGGTGCTGTGCTGTGCTAGGAGGAATGTGGCAAGGCGGTACTCCCAACCCCTTGCGTCATGCGGCGAAGGGTGTCCTTGGTGGTCCGCACCATGCGTTCTGCTTGGCCATTGGTGGCAGGGTGGAATGGCGCCGAACGGATGTGGCGGATGGCGTTCTGCGCTGTGAAGGTTTGGAATTCTCCTGACGTAAATGCAGTCCCGTTGTCTGAGACGAGAGTGTCAGGGAGCCCGTGGGTTGCAAACAGCCTGCGTAGTACCCGGATGGCTGCGGATGTAGAAGTGGACGGTACCAGTGCGACTTCCAGCCATTTGGTGTAGGAGTCCACCACTATGAAGAATGTTTTCCCCTGAAAGGGGCCAGCGAAGTCCACATGCAGGCGTGACCATGGTGCTCGGGCGGACTCCCAGGACTGGACTAGGGCCCTTGGGGGGATCTGGGTGGGATTCTTGGCAGGCCTGACAGTGTTTGACCCAGGCCTCTATCTCTCCGTCGATCCCCGGCCATCACACATAACTCCTGGCAAGGGCCTTCATTCTTACTACCCCTGGATGTCTCGTGTAGGGCTGTGAGGACCCTTTTGCGGAGGGGCTGGGGAACAATGACTCTGCTTCCCCATAACAGGCACCCCTTGTGGGCCGACAGTTCATGTTTGCAGTTGTGTAGCCGGCGAATTCTGGCCCGGGGCTGCTGCTGGGCCATCCCCTCCACACCCAGTCCAGGACCCGGGAGATGACCCTATCTTTCTTGGAATGGTGTGCAACTTCTTGTGCCTGAATGGGGCGGTCGGGAAGCAGCTCCAGGCTCATAACCTCTTGTGCAGGTGCTGGGTCGGGGCCTGTTTCCAGTAGTGGTAGCCTGCTGAGGGCGTCCGCATGGCCCATTGCCTTCCCCGGGCGGTGAATCAGTGCATACTGGTAGCTGGCAAGGAAAATTGACCACCTGAGGACGTGAGGAGACAGCACTTGGGGGGTCTGCTTTTCGGGGGCAAACAAGCCAAGCAACGGCTTGTGGTCAGTCACCACGGTGAAGGGCCGCCCGTACAAGAAATCATGGAATTTTTTTACTCCCTTCACGATTGCCAGACCCTCCTTATCTATTTGCGAGTAGTTCCGCTCGGTTGCGTTGAGTGTCTGGGAAAAGTATGCCACCGGTACCTCTCTTCCATCCGGGAGTTGGTGTCCCAGGACAGCGCCAATGCCATAGGGCGAGGCATCGCATGCTAGCACCACCGGCAGCCTCTCATCGAAGTGTGCCAAGACCGAGTTTGAGACAAGCAAGTCCTTGACTGCCTGGAATGCAGCCTTCTGACGCTGGCCCCACACCCAAGGGGCCCGCTTGTCCAGGAGTCTGTGTAGGGGCTCTGCTACCGCCGCCTTGTGGGGAAGGAAGGAATGGTAAAAGTTCAATAGTCCCAAGAAGGCCTGAAGTTCAGTCTTGCTCTTGGGTGCTGGGGCATCACAAATGGCCCGTACCTTGTCCCCAGTCGGGTGGACCCCTTCTGCATCCACCATAAATCCCAGAAAGTCCACCTGAGGCACTCCTAGTAGACATTTTTCCCGCTTCACCTTGAGACCCGCCATCTGGAAACGGTGCAGAACGGTGCAGAGGCGGTCCTCAAACTCCTCTGGAGTGGGCCCGGCAATCAACACATCATCGAAGAAGGGGGTGACGCCAGGAATCCCTTTAAGGAGCGAGTCCATTAGATTCTGGAATATGCCTGGTGCCACACTGACACCGAATTGCAGCCGCTTTACCCTGAACGCTCCTCTGTGCGTCACAATCGTCTGTGCCTCTGCTGTGGCCTCATCTACTGGCAGCTGTTGATATGCTTGGGCCAAGTCCAGCTTGCCAAAATTTTCGACCCAGCCAGGGTGGCAAGGACATGGCTGACCACTGGCACTGGGTATGCATGGGCCGTGAGGGCCTTGTTTATGGTACATTTGTAGTCTGCGCAGATGCGGACCGAACCATTAGGCTTGACGGGTGTGACGATTGGGGTTTCCCAGGGGGTATTAGGCACCGGCTCCAGCACTCCTTGCTCCACGAGCCTGTCCAATTCCTCCTCTATACAGGGTTTCAGGGCGAACGGGACCCGGCGGGCCTTGAGCCTGACCGGTCGTACTGCGGGGTCAAGCTGTAGAGCAATGGGGGGGCCGTATACTGTCCCAATTTCCCATCGAAAACCCCTGGAAATTCCTTGCAGATGGCGTCCACGTCCACTTGTAAGGTAGTGTGGTTCACCCCGGTGATGGCTAGCCCCAGTGGTCCAAACCATGCCAATCCCAGTAAGCTAATGTAGGGGCCCTTGACCACAAGCAAGTCCAGTTGCCGCGTCCGCCCTCGGTATTGCACCCTGAAGGTCCCCACCCCCATTGTGGGGACCTTACGTTTCTGGAAGTCCCGGAGGGTGAATGGGGCCGGCCTGAGTTTGGGACCCCCGTAGGACACAGTTTCCTTAAGGTCCTTGCCGAGATTATGGATAGAGTTGAACCCGTGTCAAGCTCCATGCGGCATGGGGCCCCCTCTATCTGTACCTCTACATAAATTTTCTCTACGTTGGGGTGGGGCAACTGGTATACCTGGAAGTCCGTGAGCTCCGTAGAGTTGCCTTGGTGCGTTGGGCCCCGGGACCTGGGGCACTTGGATTGGTCATCTGATGCCTGGCGTCGGGTGGGCCGAGCTCGACACACCCGGGCGATGTGTCCCAATTTTCTGCACTGCCTGCACTCTGCGTTGCGGAAACGGCAGGTCCTCCTCTCGTGACTTTCCCCGCAGCTTGCGCAGTTCCCTCCTTCTCGTCGAGGCAGCTGTGGTATGTGGGCTGCTTGAGTGCACTGCTGTACTCGGTGCACCTCCTCCCTGTCGGATCCTGAGTCGTCGGTGAGCTCTTCGTGGTGGACCCTCAGTTGGGATGGCAGGCTCAGCCGTGCCTCTTGCGTCGACCTCTTGGCAGCTTCCGTTGCCAGGGCCTCCTCCAGAGCGACCTGGAACGTTAGGTCCTTCTTGGCGTAGAGGCGTCGTTGCAGCTTCTCATCCTTCAGGCCACCGACGAGGCGGTCACGAAGCATGTTCTCCAGCTCTGAGAAGTTGCAGAACCAGGCAGCTTGGCGGAGAGAGGTCACAAACCCAGTTATGGTTTCCCCAGGGGCTTGCCACTTTGCGTAGAAGGCATTTCGACGAGCCACCACTGAGGGCTGTGGCGAAAAGTGCCCCTTCAGCTGTTCCATTATTGTTTTGTATGGAACAGTAGCGACGTCTTCAGGTGCAAGGAGAGCCCGGGCGATTTCAAATGTCTCCTCTCCGCAGATGCTGAAGAATATCGCCCTCTTCTTGGTGTCTTCTTCATCGGTGACCCCTTTGGCTTCTAGGAGGAAGGTGAAACGGGAGGCGTATGCTTCCCAGTCTCCAGATGCTGGGTTGAACGGCGAGAAGTTGCTGTCAGTTGCCATTCTGAGTTCCTTGTGTCCCGGAGCTGAAGCCTGGATACACGGTGCGAGGCAGCGGTGCGGCAGGTGGCGGTGCTGCGGTGCTGTGTGTGGCAGTCAGCTTAGCGGGATCCCATCCTCGTCGCCAGTGAAATATACTCAGAGTTGCAAAGTGATTTCATGCTCTTTATTCAGCTCATAGTGGTGAGGAGGAATGAATGAATGTCCCCTCAAAGTATCTGCTTTATATACATTATTTACACAATGGGCTGCACATGATTGGTTAATTCTGGAATTCTACTGTAAGCCAATCAGGTTGTGGATTCACTTATATCTGGAGCATGATTGGGTGGTTCCTGCCAACCAATCATACTGCTGCATTGTTCTTGGACCAACCAGACTGCTGCATTCTGAATCCTATTGTTCTAGGACCAATCAGACTGCTGCAATTTGGATCCTATTGTTCTAGGACCAATCAGACTGCTGCAGTTTGGATCCTATTCAACTCAGTACATAACACCCTTCATTGTGGAAATGATTCCTGACTCATGAATAGTGTGGAAATGCTACTGGCACATTTTGCTGTCTGAATTCGCTCTGAGTTTGGGACGCCAACATGCGCATGAAATTTGCGTACGGTAATTTATATGTATAGATCCAAATTTAGAAACGATTACTATGAATGTAATGGAAATACCTCTTCCCATAGTGAGGAAGGTACCAGTGACTTGTGCTGTTGCTCAGTGTGCTGTCCGGGTGCTGCAACGCTGTCAAAGAGCATCTTCAAGGCTCCTGCTGCTCTCCTTTCTTATGCTCCCTTATGCTTAAATCAGACTTAAGGCAGGCTGTCCTCCCAGAGCCCTTTAAAGAGAGAGAGAACTGTCCTCTGCAAAGCTGGATATGTGGCCATTTTGCTTGCAATGGGAAGAGACTTGGAGGAACTCCTTGTGCCACTGGACATCAAGCCAGTATGTGAAAGGTGAGTAGGGTACACAACGTGTATTGAAAACTCAGGCCCATGGCCCTGTGCCTGCAATTAGTCCTTCCTGTTTGGGGGTGGGGCGGGGGGATAGCTGGCCTTGGCTCAGGAGCAGCTCAGCCTGGGAAGAAGTGACAGGCCTGTCCGGTTGCTGAAAGGTGTGGCATATGTGGCACAGACCATGCCTGCCGCCGCCGGCTGTTTCCGAGAACAGTAGGCAGAGGATCAGGAACATCCTGTACTGTGTAGGACAAGGAGACTCTGTCTCCCGCTTCTCTGTCTCGCTGTACCTGGAGTTTTGAAGTGGGTGTTTCCAAAAAGTCAAATCTTTATTCAATGTAATCTTCATCTTGTGTGCTCCTCCCTGTATTATATGTATGTGGGATAGCTCAGTTGGTAGAGCATGAGACTCTTAATCTCAGGGTTGTGAGTTTGAGCCCCGCTTTGGGTGAAAAATTCCTGCAATCCTGGCACAGTCCCTACCAGCTCTACAGTTCTATCATTCTGTGATTTTCTTACCATCTTCCCACAGAGTTTGGCTTGTCCCACTGGATTTAGTCTCATGGCATGGTTCTTTTCTGGTGAGTCCCATGGGCCTCTCAGGACATGGTGTTTTGATGCAAGTGTTTTATGCATCATGCCGGACTTTGGTAATATGGTGCCTGAGCAAGGACAAAATTTGGCACATGCACCTCTTTCTTATTTCACAAAAAATCCTTTTGGTACAGTTACCTTTTTAATGGTTCTTCTCAATAGTATTATGTATCCGCTTGGCTCAGGGCTCTCTGCAGGGGAACCACCCACACTGCCCTAAATCCGGCACTGATTTGTACTGGACCATCCAAACTTTTCCTGCTTTGTAAGTTGTTCTGCGATGCTTTCCTGATTGCTGTCTAGCAGTTACTTTTGCCCCATAGCACAACAAAAGTGGGACCAAAATAACAAGAGCAGGTATTTGCCATATGACAAATTACAGGATTTAGACAGGACATATGCAGATTGGAAACAAAGCAGTGTGCCTCCCCCAAAACGTTTTCAGGCACCAAACAGTATTGAAAGTGGGATGTTGTATAACTGCCCCAATACCAACATGAATGCACAATAAAAAGGACATGTGGAGGGTCAGTAGACACCCAGGAGTAGGGCTGGGTGAGACCTGGTTTTCAACATTGTGATATATAACCAGCTAAACATAATGATATACTGATATATCACCATGTCTGAAATAAGGATGGAGATATGTAGAGGCATTAGCTGGCCTCACAGATTTTCCTACATTGTGGTTTTTGCATAACACACACACACACATACACATCATGATTCGCAATATATTGCCAGGTCAAAAATGATGAAACCAATATCATGATATGAACTTCAAACTGGTTGGGACAGCTGCTTCCCAAAGTCCAGCAATGCTGGTACATTCAGTCTCCAGGATGAGGACCCCCAAGATTGCTCCACTGCTTGGGGTGGGATATAAAGCTGTCAGTCAAGTCCAACATTCCGAGAGGACTACCATATTTTTTGCACCATAACACTCACTTTTTTCCTCCTAAAAAGTAAGGGGAAATGTCTGTGCGTGTTATGGAGGAAATGCCTACGGGTGGCATGCCTACGGATTTTCCTCCTCTAAAAACTACGTGCGTGTTATGGTCGGGTGCGTGTTATAGAGCGAAAAATACGGTAACTCCCTCTGTGTGGCAGGCAGTTCTGTCAGTTGGTCGGTTGCTGCAAGGAGTGTTAACTGGCAGCTGCTCAGATGCAGTCTTCTCCTGACTCACTACTATCTAGTATATAGTTTATAACCTAAGCCTGCCTTCAGGAACAACTCTGTAAACCTGAATGAATCTGCTAGTAAAGTAGTTTATGTTAATATGATTTTGATTCATGTGTGTTTTCTTTAAGAGGGGCAGAAGGGATTATCAACCAGGAAGGTATAATTATTGATAGGACTCAAACGAGTTAGCAACCTGCTTGTTGCTGCATAAACTCAAGCAGGGGATCGTTTAAACTCTGCTAAATTATATAAACGTTCCCACACTTGGGAGGAATTGGAGAAGCACAGGGCACTCACAAAGCTCCCTTGCCTGCTTCTCAGTGCCTGTCTGTTCCCTATTTTGTTCCTGCTTTCCCGTTGCCTTTGATCGCTCATCAAGGCGTCAAGCGAGGTGTAACATGGCTGGCTGTTGACAGGAGTTAGCCTTGCATGAAGCCTTGATGCCTATTTTGTTGCTGCAAAGCTTCTTTCCGTCCCGCCTCCTCTGACATCCTTCCTGTCCTCCTTGTTCCAAAATGTATTTTCTTGTCAGAAAATGATCCAGCTGGCCCAGGTTCAAGGGAGTGCTGCCCTGAGGGACCTGAAAGTGAACTTTGGGTTCCAGCACTTGCCGTGCTGCTTTGAGGAGTTATTCTCATGTTGGCTCTGATTCAGGGGAAGTTAGGCCCCATCTGCGCTGAGCACTTGACGCAGTACCATTTCAAACAGCCATGGCTTCCCCCAAAGCATTCTGGGACCTGTGGTTTCTCAAGGGTGCCAAGAGTTGTTAGGAGACCCCTATTCCCTTCTACGAAGTTCCTGGGGAAGAGCGATTAACGGTTAAACCACTCTGAGAATTGTAGCTCTGTGAAGGTAACAGGAGTCTCCTATCCACTCTTGGCACCCTTGAGAAACTACAGGTCCCAGAATGCCAGTGGGCATGGCCCTGTTCCACCCTCCATATGACTTATCATCCCATGAAGGGAATGGATGGAAAGAGTTCTTGACTGAAGGGAATTTCTGTATGTGCAATAAGAATTAAAACCTTGGCATACCAGCACTGAGCTGTGGGTCAGCCACCCCTGGGCAATTGTTCTAGGTGAGGCAATGGTGCTGAGAGAGCAACCTGCATGTACTGATGGGATCTGCAAGGGATGCAGGAGAATGTGGGTGCCATGACCTCACTTTAGGGTACCTGGAAGTTGCTGTCTGCTTGCTCGTGCAGTGACTATAGTCTTTCTGGTTCCTGTGTGCAAGAGAGAGAGAGAGAGAGAGAAGTCACTGGGCAGAAACTGCAGTTCATTTGAAGAGAGCCAGGAGATGGAGAGGAGCTTGGGATCACAGGAGGTGGTTCATGGCTCCTGGGTAGGGGACTTAGGTACTGCTGGGGCTTAGGGATCCAATCAGCAACAAAAAGGGAAAGCTCAGTGGTCATAATATCTAAATAATGTCTCATGATTCCCTGCTCTCTGTATATTCTCTGCTGGAAAACAAATAACAACTATCTTCCCTTTTGGGTGGGGAGCAGGTAAGAGTTGAATCCTCTATTTGGAATTCCAAATGTGGGTTTCCATAGCAACTAGTTTTAGTAAAGAGGTGAGGCAGGGGAGAGAGGCACCTGGGACCTCCCAATGTTGCAGTTGTCAGAATGCTGCATGGTAAGTCCCTCCTGGAAACATCATTAGCATCTCATTGGTGCCTCCTGGAACTCACATGACCAAACACACATGTACCCCCGACTCCTGAACTGGCAAGATCTCCTGCACTGGGGAGGGTGAAAGTCCCAAATAATCCTAGCAGTGGAGGGATGCTTGTGTGGAATATGGAACACAGTAGCATTTGACATGCCCCACAAGGAACATGAATCCGGCAGATGGGGCAGGACTTTACCCTTAGTGATACCCAGTCGGGGAAAATAGGCTCATCATCACCAGATAACACTGCTTCTAGGCTGCACCTACTGTGTCAGATTACAAGCGGTGGTGTGGAAATAATAAGATTGGAAACTTTCCCCGCCACCGCATATAATCACCTTAATTGCTGATACATAGGCAATTATCATGGCATGGAGAAGGCTAGGCAATAGCTAGGGACACCATGTGCCCTATTCTGCAGTGGATGGTTCTCTGTTTTGAAAGTGTCTTTTATTTGAGTGTTCATTCAGACTTCCTTTTGTGCCACACTTTCCAGGCACAGGTTCATGTTTTAAAGCTCCATGTCTGAGCAGAATTTTTTCTGCCCTGGCACTTTCCCTAGGGAAGCCCGTTATTTACTGCTGAATTGGAGAAAACGACAATCCACAGGAAACGCAATTGTCTCTATTGTTGCCTGTTTTTAAATCCCATGTTAATTGGTCTGAACTTGAGATGTCTAATGCAGTATATTGGGTTCTTGCAGGACAACTTCAGTTCTGAGTAGATACCTTCATGTTTGCGTATATACAGTGGTACCTCGGGTTAAATACGCTTCAGGTTACAGACTCTGCTAACCCAGAAATAGTACCTCGGGTCAAGATCTTTGCTTCAGGATGAGAACAGAAATTGTGCGGCGGCAGCGGAAGGCCCCATTAGCTAAAGTGGTGCTTCAGGTTAAGAACGGACCTCCGGAACAAATTAAGTACATAACCAGAGGTACCACTGTATATAGCCCAGAGGTTTTCAACCTTTTTGAGTCCATGGCTCCCTTGACAATCTACATTCTCTCTGTGGCACCCCTGTGGGGCTCAGGAGCCCAGTTATGTCACCCTTTGCCTGCAAAGCTGGCAGATTCTCACCCTTTCTCAAACACCCTTCCTTGTGGAGTGTTCCCTCAGTCTCCTCTCCTCTCCCCTCTCCTTCGGAGTCTTCTGGGCAGCTGCCCCTAGTCTCGCCCCAAAGAGAAGTGCCTCCCAGAGGCACCATCAGCCTGCGGAGCTTATAGCCAGGGCTGCTGCAAAAAACAGCTGTGCAAGCTTTTGGGAGGCAAAGTTGTAAGAGGGCATCAGGGAAGAGAGGGAAGGAAAGAGGGACAGAGGCCAGCATTGCCTGCGACGCCCGTGACTATCATTCAAGGCACCCCAGGCACAGCAGACTGGTTGAAAACCACTGATATAGCCTATTTATGGCTTTGTTTCTGTTTGGAGCAATTGGTCTGCTGCTTGGCTGGAGGTCCTGGCTAGCACCTTAGCTTGGTTTTGTAGGTAACAACCCACTGCTATCTGTTCATGTGCCCTTTGCTGGATTCTGCAACTCAGAGGTTACTCAATTATTCATAAATATTGGTTTTTCTCCATTATGTTTACACTTTTGGGCCGATCCCAACCATATCATTAGTAATGTGTACACAGTGTTGAATGATGTCACACGCCGGGTGCCTGTGACCTTGCATTGTGAAATTACCATTTTACAGTTTCACAACAAAATAATCCCAGGGTTCTGGTGCACACGACTGTTTCATGTGGGGTTCAAGGGAGTGCTGCCCTGAGGGACCTGAAAGTGAACCTTGGGTTCCAGCACTTGCCGTGCTGCTTTGAGGAGTTATTCTCATGTTGGCTCTGATTCAGGGGAAGTTAGGCCCCATCTGCACTGAGCACTTGACGCAGTACCATTTCAAACAGCCATGGCTTCCCCCTATTCCCTTCATAGAGCTACAAAGTTCCTGGGGAAGAGCGATTAATGGTTAAACCACTAAGAATTTGGCACACCAGCACTGAGCTGTGGGTCAGCCACCCCTGGGCAATTGTTCTAGGGGAGGCATTGATGCTGAGAGAGCCTCAAAGGAGCCTCAAAGGAGTGTGCAATATTCTCCCCCCCACACACACACATTTTATCCTCATAAGAATCCTGCGAGGTAGGTTTGGCTGAGAGGCAGTGGCTGGCCCAAGATCACCCAGTGAGCTTTCATGGCCGAGTGGCGACTCAAACCCTGGTCTCCCAGGTCCTAATCCAACAATCTAACAATAGCACCACACTAGCTCTTCTGTGTAGAAGCAGGGGTGGGGCTATAATGTATGCCAGGCTGTGACATTGTGGCCTCGTTGCTGCCCGGCTTTGCCATTACCGTGTTGAGCATGGAGGTCTGAAGAGAGAAGGGTTTGGGCAGGCAGCTGCTCCCACATCTGGGCTCCATGAAACCAGGAAGGGTGCCTTTTTTAAGACCTTGGTGCTTGGCATGCAAAACTCTTGGGAGACTCATGGGGTGGAGCTAGAGACCTGGCCCCACTTCTGCTTCTCTATGAGCCCCCCCCCCCCCCCGAGCCAGCGCATTAGCCGGGCTACTGGCTCTCTTCAGGCATCCACTGCCTGAGTTAAGGAGGCACGTGATGAGGGGAGTGGGGATCAGATTCCCCCCAGTGCTATTCTGATTGCCCTCCCCAGCATGGAACTCTGCACACATTTCAGAACCCTGGAAAATCAGGATCCTCTAAACCACATGAGGAGGAGCAGACCCCTTGCTTCATATAGTTACCCTTGAACTCCTGGAGGGTGACCCAGAACAACAACAACAGGGGTGGAGGTAGTGAATTCATCCCTGCAGCCCCCCACTTTCAGATTACTTACACTTCAGGCATTTGCTACCTGGTTTAAGTGGGACCTCCAAAGGCCTGATCTGCTTTGAACCAAAGGGATTGGGCTGACAAAAACCATATTTGATCAAAACCAATCAAATGTGCCTGGATAGCTCAGTTGGGCAGAGCATGATGCTGGTAATGCCAAGGTTGCAGTTGTGTGGGACAGCTGCATATTCCTGCATTGCAGGGGGTTGGGACTAGATGATCCTCATGGTCCCTTCCAACTCTACAATTCTATAAAATAACCTTCCACTGACCAGTGCAGGTGGGGGAGGTAAGGCTCAAGGTTTGCTCTCATCTGTAATGCCCTTTCCCATCAATGCAACGCAGCTCCACACTCAAACTTAAAAAAATAAAAATTAAAAATCTCTTTTTTAAAGGTAAAATACTGACACCTAACAAGATACATGGGCTTATTGCTTGCCATAAGTCTAGACATTCTGGGGAGGCCTGCATTTATTTACAATCTCGGGACTGGATTGTCTGTGTGCCTTCCCCCGCTCTCCCAGCTTCTGTGAATGCAGGAGCCTTATTAATAGCTCTAACATAGCACACTTCATCTCCAAAGCACTTTAGAGAGCGAGAGAGAAATAGAGAGTATAATTAATTAATCATTTAATGCTTAGCAGCACTTAAACTGCACGCAGCTCTCCACAAGCGCGCAGGCACACAAAGCGCAGCATAGACGTTAAGCCCTTTGGCGTACTTAACTCTCTCCGAGATTGTGCGGAGCGTGGCCCGGAGCCAGCTAAGGAGAGGGCTGGGAAGACTCAGCTCCCTGGGCGCCTGGGTTATGCCTGTGAGCTGCATCCTGCTACAAAGAATTGGCTAGATCTGTGTGGTCCTTTTATGTGTGGGCTTTTAAAAAAGAAAACAAATATATTCAGGCGTAAAGGTTGCAGCTTGCCTGGTGGGGGCACACAGACCTCTCTTGGACCCCACTTTCCCTTCTGACATTCACTCCAGAGTGCATCTGCCCCCACCCCACAAATCATGCATAATCCCAGAAAATTTCCCGCCCATGTTCTTTTCATATATGTTCTGCTTTGCCCCAGTTATGTTTCCATTATTTTCTTTTTAAAAAATACATTACATTTTGTATACAAATACGTTACTTACTGTACTATACAATGGTGCTGCTGTAAGTGGTGATTTGTGGACTGATTCTAGTCTGTGAGTCATCAGCTGCTGGTTCCCAATGACTCCACCACAGTCCAGGTTGGGTGGGATGCTTAGGGACCAGATGTGGAACATGAGGGGCAGAAATTGCCAGTCTAGCACGTTGGATAGCTTGAGAAGCAATCCTGCCACACAAGATGGTCTGAAGGCTCCTTTTAAAGTTCTATAGCCCCCCCCCCCAAGGTTTACAATCTTGTAAAACAAGTACAACAGACAATAGCCACTTTGAATAGCTAGTGTGCAACTGCTGTCAGATCAACATTTGTGAAAACTAATATGCATATTTTGCATAATATATACTGGTGTTTTTATAAGTCAATGGAGAGGTTGTTGTTCAGTGCTTTCTTCTGGGGGGGGGGGGATGCAGGGGTACTCATACCCCTAAACATTTTATGAATCTAATGGGAGAAGAAACTTAAAAAAATTAAATTGTTAAATTGTTGTAGTTTCTGAGTCACCTTCAAAGGTAGCCCTAAGTAGAGTACATTGCAGTAGTCCAAGCGGGAGATAACCAGAGCATGCACCACTCTTGCGAGACAGTCTGCAGGCAGGTAGGTTCTCAGCCTGCGTACCAGATGGAACTGGTAGACAGCTGCCCTGGACACAGAATTAACCTGCGCCTCCATGGACAGCTGTGAGTCCAGAATGACTCCCAGGCTGCGTACCTGGTCCTTCAGGGGCACAGCTATCCCATTCAGGACCAGGGAGTCCTCCACACCCGCCTGCCTCCTGTCCCCCTAAAACAGTACTTCTGCCTTGTCGGGATTCAACCTTAATCTGTTAGCCGCCATCCATTCTCCAACCATTTCCCGACACTCACACAGGACAATCACTGCCTTCATTGGTTCTGATTTAAAAAGAGAGGTCATCCACATACTGATGAACACCCAGCCCAACCCCCCTAATGATCTCTCCCAGCGGCTTCATAAAGATGTTAAAAAGCATGGGGGAGAGGACAGAACCCTGAGGCACCCCACAAGTGAGAGCCCCAGGGGTCTGAACACTCATCCCCCAACACCACTTTCTGGACACGGCCCAGGAGGAAGGAGAGGAACCACTGCTTAGCATTGCCCCCAGCTCCTCTAGACAATCCAGAAGGAGGTCATGGTCAATGGCAAGGGTCAGCGAACTTTTCAGCTGGGGGCCGGTTCACTGTCCCTCAGACCTTGTGGGGGGCCGGACTATATTTTGAAGGGGAAAAAATGAATGAATTCCTATGCCCCACAAATAACCCAGAGATGCATTTTAAATAAAAGCACGCATTCTACTCATGTAAAAACATGCTGATTCCTGGACCGTCCGTGGGCCGGATTTAGAAGGCAATTGGGCCGGATCCGGCCCCCAGGCCTTAGTTTGCCTACCCATGGTCAATGGTGTCAAAGGCCACTGAGAGATGCAGCAGAACCAGGAAACAGCTTTCCCCTCTATCCCTAGCCCACCGGAGATCACTGACCAGTGCAACCAAGGCTTTTTCAGTCCCATGATAAGGCCTGAATCCTGATTGGAAGGGATCCTAATGGTCTGCATCCTCCAGGAGTTGTTCAGCCACTGAAATTTAGTTCAGCTGCTCCCCTGGGATGTTAGCTGATATTGCCCACACACTTTTGAGCATATTTTCATAACCAGGAGGGATAGAATCTTGATTTAAAAGAAGAAGGAGTGATGCCATGGGTCACATCTGGCTCTCAGCCTGGCAGTTTCCTACTCCTACTCCTGCTCTTGCCCCAGAGTGTTTGCCCTGAATTCTAAATCTCTGGACCCAGATGGGGCATCCTTCCTAAATCTCTGGAGCTTTAGTAATAATAACAGTAATAATAATTTTATTATTTATACCCCGCCCACCTGGCTGCCATCTTTCCTAATCATGAGGAACGGCATTTGCTGTATAAATTACCTTACACTTCCTACGGTATCTCAGTTAGGCCTTAAATAGGCACTGGTGTGGGTTGTTGCTCTTGTTTTTGGTGATATGTAAATTTTATTTCAACTTACCGGTAATTGGCTTATCAATAAATAAGTTGACAGCCCTAAGGGAGGGAAATAGAGCCTTCTGATTATGCAGTTTCTCATCTGTCCTCTTAGTCATCTGCGTGTGGACATGGAAAGTGACAAATTGGAGGAGGGTGTCATTCTCACTCAAGCATGCTCAGAGAACATGTGCGCACTTCAGAGAACACTAGTGAGTGTGTGTCTTGTGTGTCTGTGTGTCAATGTGTGGAGTGCTGGCAGAGAAGAAGAGCAAAGGATGATGATCTGTCTTCAGGAGTCCTTGATTGTTAGTGCATATTTTGCCTGTAATTCATCCTTCTTCTCCTGCAGAAAATAGTGACTGTTTTCCTTGAAAAAACTGACCCAGATCTTAAGTAGCAGAAGTGAAGCAAATCTAAAGCAAGGTGCCTCTGCCTGTTTTGGTGGTGTGTGTGTTACATTCTTCCTCTTCCACCCCCCACATCCTCATGGTCCCTACACCTCACTGTTCAGAACGGCCCCCTGATCTTCTGCAGAGGCTTTATGAGGGGCTGGAGGGGTCAGGAAAATCCCCTTGCTCAAGCTTCCTTCTTCTCTTGCTGTTTGTGATGCAAGCTAGCATTAATGATGGTGATCCTGTGCTGTCATACAGTTATGGAGAAAGGCTTTAAAGTGCACCACACACACTACATGGCTGCAATCCTATAACTTAGGTTCAGCTTGTACAATTATAGTTGATTCAGAGGCCTTGTGCAAGGAACCTACTTTTCCCAAAGATTGGGCTTTCTACACTAAGGAAAGTGATGGGAAAATATCCTGGAAAAGGTAGGATAGCTGCCGTTAAGATGGATTTGGCAGCATCAAATGGCTGAGACTGAATTTAGAGAGGCTGTGTACCACCAAAATGCACATGTCTGCAGCATGGACTGTAATTTGCACCTCCCAGTGACCTCAGAAGCTCATGCAATGAGAAAGCTGCAGTTATTCGGTCAGCGACCAGTGTGTTGGCTGCCATGTTTCTCAGTCTGTATCTATGCTGACTTCCTCTATCCTACAAATTGGCTTAATGGCTGATTTGTCTCTCCAGGGAACCTGGGAGGTGGGGATCTGTCTATGAAACAAGTGCCAGCTAGAGGCCTCCTAACCAGTTGTAGCTCTAAGGCAGGAAATGCCAACCCAGTGCCCTCTATAACATGTGCTACAATTCCCATAAGCCCCCACTAGTATGATCAGTGGTCAGGGATAAGTGAAGTTGTTGTCTGTGGTATCTGGGTGGCACCATCTTGACTTCCTCTGCTCTGGGGTTTGGGTGGGTTCAAGGTGTCCTCAGAAGATTGATTTTAAAATGTGGGAGGCACTGCTTTTCACTTGGACATCAGACAAACCTCCCATTGGAATATGGAAAGTCACTTAATTTACCGGTTGGAGGAAAGGGAACTGTCTTATGCTCCTTTTGCCCACCCTCCCCCTACACTTGCAGTAAGGTTGGCACTGGCAATATCATGAAAGAGCACAAACCAGGGATGCAGAACCTGTTGCCCTCATGATGTTGTTGGACTCACAAATTCTGCCAGCCCCTACCAGCATGGCCAATTGTCAGGGTTGAAGGGAGATGTATTTCAGCAACATCTGGAGGGCCATAGATGTCCAGAAGGATCATGCTGTGCTCCAGGAGCTGTCTGTTTATGAATGCCACCCTTGTCTCCTACTGAGGTCTATCCTAAACAGGTCTTCTTTGGGATGTCTCTTTGCAAATAGAGCTGTCAGTCTGGGCACTGAACCTGGGGCACACCATAAAAAGGCTTCTACTGCACCAGTTTCGAGGTGCAGAGAGGAGGGACGGCAGGCTGCTGAGCAGGACCATTGTCAGTCTGCTCGTATGCACATGTTGCATTAGTTCAAGGCGGTTTGCAGATAGATGATGAATAAACTGCACCCAAACAAGAAACCAAGATCTCTGAGTTTAAAAACAACCCAGAACCAGCAGCAGATAAATCAGGCCAGATGGTTACAATATTAGACTAAAAAATATTTTAATCTCACACTGTGGCAACATTAAAAACACAGGCGCTGATTTAAAATGCCTTAGTGTAAATAAACATTTTCATCTGCTGCTCAAAGGGAATTTATCAGAGCAATTCACAGCTATTTAGATCTAAGTAGATACCCTTTGAAAAGAGAATTACGTTTCCTCAGGGGTTGTATTTCCTTATATTGGCAAGGGTATTTGGCCCTCACTGGTAATGTGGTGCTGCCTCGATTATTTGACACCAGCTTCCAACTGGTAGTTGGCAGACAGAGCCAGCCTGGTGGTCCCCTGGTCTCAAGCCCCCCTTCAACCATGGACTTAGCTCACTGGGTCATCTTTGACTTAACACCATCTCTCAGCCCAACCTACGTCACAGGGTTGTCTCAGGGATATACGGAGGAGAACTGTGAAAGCCATCACTGAGTACCTTGGTGAAAAGGCATAGTATGAACAGAACAAAATAAAGAAAAGTCACATCCTGTGGCTTTGTAGTTGCTGTCCATTTATTGCCTGTCTCTCTACCCATTTTGCTATATTTAAGTGTTTGGACAAAAGTGGTTCTGAGTGCCTAACGCCCCCACCCCTCTCCCACTCTTTTTTCTTATAGATCCGAAGACGTCGCCCAACTCCAGCTACCTTGGTCTTGAGCAGTGACCAGTCATCTCCTGGTGAGAGCCAAAACATACTCATCCATATTTTGGGGTGTCTCACTAGTTTGTGGGAGCAGCTTCAGAAATAAACAAGGAGACCTTTGTCACAGGGGCTGTTGCACTGTTCAGCCATTTTATTGGCCTAGAAGATGCCCTTATGGATCCCTAACATATACCTTGCTCTATCATGGGCAATGAGAACTGTTTTCTTGGCCAATTGTTCCCCTGAAGGGCATGTTATATGTAGGGCTGCCTCTGAAGATGGTTTGGAAACTTCAGCTGGTGCAGAATTCAGCGGCTATGTTGCTCCATGGGGCTAGACGGTTTAAGCATATTATACCAATCTTGGCCCAACTGCACTAGCTGCCAATTAGTTTCTGGGTCTGATTCAAAGTGTTGGTTTTGACCTATAAAGCCTTAACCAGCTGATGACTGCAATACCTGAAGGACTGCCTCTCCCCATATAAACCAGCCCAGACCCTGCAGTCATCACCTGAGGCCCTTCTTTGTGTGCCTCCTCCAAGGCAGGTCCGGAGGGTGGCAGCACAAGAATGGGCCTTCTCTGTAGTGGCTCCCCGTCTGTGGAATTCTTTCCCCAAGGAGCCTTACCTGGTGCCTTCGTTATACACCTTTAGGCGCCAGGTGAAAACATTCCTCTTCAACCAGGCCTTTGGCTGACTGACACTTGATGCCCTTTTAAATGTGTTGTAGGGGGATTATTATTATTGGTTCTTATTTTTTATTATGTATTGGGGGTATTGTATTTTTATGTTACGAGTCACCCTGAGATCTACAAATGGAAGGTGGTATGCAGATTTCATAAATAAAATGTTGCAAGGTGTTTGTTGATGGCCTGTGTCTCCCTGCTGGTTTTTTGAGAGGTCTTCTTTTTTATTGGCAATCACTCGTAGCTGAGAAAGATGGACCTAGTGCAAGAAGGTGGGCAACCTACAGCCCTAGAGCTGCATAGGGCCTTCAGCTGAAATCTGTTACCTCACCCTGCCCTCAATAGTTTAGGACCAGGCTCTTTGAAGGACTTCCTGTACCCATATGCAGCTACCTGAACTTTAAAATTGGTCTCAGAGGTCTTGCTCACGTTTCCTTTCATCAAGATCTATTAAACTGGCAGTGACTAGAGACAGGGTCTTCTCAGTGTTGGCTCTGCACCTGTGGAGCTCCCTCCCGAGGGATACATGCAGCTTCTTTCTACCACAGTGCTATGAAACACCCTCCCTGGGGCAGTGTCTTGCCCCTCTTGATTTCTTTCAATTGAGTTTTTTACCTGTTTTTCTTGTGGGAGGGTTACATGTTTTGTGGAGGTATTGCCTGCTTTTTTGTGCATTTTTGGTTTTTATTTTGCAATGTGTGTTCAGTATTTTTTGACTGGCTCTTTGTGGGGGGAGAGATGTGGGTTCTGAGCATCACCAACTTTTCTCTCTGTGAAATGGGCATTTTGTGATACTCTCAACAGTTTTTTCTTAGATTTCCACATGCCCCCTCTCCAGGTCCAGAATGTTTGCCCTCCCCCATCATTCTTGCACATTGGAGCCCCAAGATGCTTTTGATAAATTTAGGAGAGAACCTCCAGAAAGTGACTTTTATGGCTGAGTGGGGATTTGAACCCTGGTCTCCAAGGTCCTAGTCCAGTCCTCTAACCACTACACCACAGTGGGTCTCTGGATATCCCTTGTGGGTTGCTGTCCCAAAGACAAGAGCGGGAAAATTCAGCTGAACTGGACAAACAGGAAAGCATCTTCTTTCTTAGCAGGGAGCAACATCTCTGGAAAAAGACCTCACTTGTTGTCTGTGCAGGCCTCTCCTTCCTTTCCCTTTCCTGTCAGTCTCCCACAGCTGCAGCCGGCCTGCACAAGACTTGACAGTCTCAGTCCCTGGTTGCATTCTCTGGCTTTTCTTGCATGCTGGATAATTGACCGCCTGTCTGACCTGTGTTTCTCTCTACTTCCTTGTCTGTCTGAATATTTAGGAAGTTGTCATGGTGGATTGTTGATTTGGCAAATAATGCTGAGAGCAAGCAATAGTCAGCAAGCCATGACATCTTTTTGTTGGTGGGGGAAGGGAGGGTGACTGGAGAAGCCTCTGGTGCCAAAGGGGGCATTATTTTCTTAGATTAGGAGCTAGGAGGAATCTGGAGTTCAAAGCTGGACAACACTGGGATTTTAATGGGACTCATCTTAATGCTGGCTCAGTTGGTTAGAGCGTGATGCTGATAATGCCAAGGTAGCAGCTTTAATCCCTGGACGGGACAGCTGCATATTCAGGTTGTACCAGATGATCCTCAGGGTCCCTTCCAACTTCTATGAATCTGTAAGGGCAGCCTGTGTAGGTGACACCTCAATGGAGCTCAGTGGCAGAGCACCTCTTTTACGTGCAGGAAGTCTGTGGTTCTACTCCTGGCATCTCCAGGCAGGGCTGGGAAAGGGAGCCTGTCTGAAGCCCTGGAGAACCGCTGCCAGTCACCAGGCTTGATGTCTGATTTGGTGTAAGGCAGCTGCCTCTGGTCCACTAGGATTATATTGGGGTCAGAATTGGGAGTGGACCTTCTCACACCAGTCACTGGATCACAATGACAGGACTGATCCAGGGGAATTTTGTACTTATTTGAATGCAACACCTGCCCCCCCCCCCCGCCCCAATGTGGGGGCCTATCGTCACCTTCATGGGGTAAGCATGGATTACTAAGGCGTGTTGAATTTTTAGACTTTCAAATTCCAAGAATGAGGGGTGCTAAAAAGTTGGGGAATTCAAAATATATTTCGCTTAAATTAATTATTCTTGCTTGATAAGTAAAATGTGTGTAAAATTGCATAGAAAACATTAACAATGATTGCCAAGTACTTGCAGTTATATTATTAATTAATTAATTAGCATTATTTGACATTTTCAGAAGGTAAAATTAAATTTCTTTGGTTGTCTGAAAGCAGTTTATGTGTTTCTTCATCAAACATAGACTTATGAAGTTAACTGTTGTCCAATCATAAAAATAATAGCAAATTTTAATTACTCACATCCAAAAACATATTTTTAAGACCACTCACTGAATAAATTTATAAAAATTCAGTTTTACCTCTAAAACAACACACCCTAATAGATGACTACGTTTGACTCCGCAACTGGAGACCCCTCCATGGATGGAACTGCCAAGATGCTCATGCTCACCCTTAGAAGACCTCTTGGACCAATCCATTCTGTAAAGGAAAGTGTGGCTATCCCATTAAGGACACTGGCTCTCTCTAGCAAGCTGACAAATGTCAGCGACATTCTGCTGAGCATGGCAGACTTGGTAAAAGCAACCTCTCTTAGATGATCAAATATGACCCTCCAGGACTCCTAAGGACATAGCATATTCCTAAAATCCTCAAGATTTTGGTGCCCCAGAGTGGGAAATGGGCAGCACTGTTCCAGGAACAGCCTTGCTATACTTTTTACTGGAGGGAAATATGCTTTGGCCTAGAGGGAGCTCTGTTTGAGCAGTCTATGAAAGATATCCATCACAGAATAAGGATGCATGGCAACATGGTTATTTCCAAGATGTCCAAAGCAAAAAACATTGCACTGTATTGCTTAGGTGCTGGTGCAGCCTCTGAGGCCAGCTGGCTGAGCTGACATCATGGCATGGCAAGTCCATAAACATAGCAATTGCTCAGGGAGAAAGAATGTCTGTAGTTCAGGTTCCATGAGGGAAGTGAAAGGTGTCAGCTTGGCTGAGCTTAAAACCCCTCGCATACAGAAGGAGCAGATACCTGTGGACCTCCAGATGTTGCTGGGCTCCCATCAGCCCTAGATCAATGTTCAAAGGTCTATGAGAGTCACAATCCAGCAACATCTGGTTCCCCACTCCTGCTCTAGGGACAGGAGCACTTGTCTGAGAAAGAGGAACCTGAGGATAGTGGATCTTCTGGACAAAGGCAATGAAGAATTGAGGTGAGAAGGGGCCGACGAGAGAGGGAGCTCTGAGGAAGTGCTTCAGGTTAAGATGTAGGCTGCAAGGAATTGGAAAAGGGTACAGAAGGAATGCCAAGGGAGGTGGCCAAGGGTTAGGGTGGCTGACATAATAAGGAGGCATCCAAGGAAATAACTTCAGTATGGTGCCTTGGGACAATAACAGCTCAGCACTCTTGGCAGGCAGACAGGAAAGGGAGGAAGCCAAGAAGGGCCCAGTCTCTGTTTTGTCTTTTTAGATACCCCCCCAAAGGTCCTGCAAGGCAATTCTTGGCAAAATTGATAATATGGCATAACCGATCTATAAAACCCTCAACCATGAGAGTTCATGAGGCACAATACCTCTAAATCCAAGTGGCTTTGGGGCTTCAGAACAGGGGTCCTCAAACTAAGGCCCGCAGGCCAGATTTGGCCCGCCAGGCTCGTCAATCCGGCCTGCCAGCCAAAATGCCACGCCGTGCGAGGACTGACAGAGCGAGCTCAAATTTGCTCCTCTCTGTGATGAGGGGAGACGCATCTCCTCGCCAACTGGATTTCTGCCTGTGGGCAGCCGTGACTGGACACAATTCTTATGTTCTTAGTGCTTATGAGATTATTTTGGCTTTCTGGAGGACTAGATGAATTGCTGTGTGTGTGTGTTTATTTGGATTTATATCCTGTCTTTCCTCCCCAAGGAGCTCAGGGTAGATTTATATACAGTATATACTGTATTTTTCCGCGTATAAGACACCCCCATGTATAAGACGCCCCCTATTTTGAGGGAATCCGATTTAAGAAAATGGGGGGAAAGATCTATCCGTGTATAAGACATCCCCAAATTTTGGAAATTATTTTTTAGGAAAACAACCTAGCCTTATACACGAAAAATACGGTACAGTGGTGCCCTGCAAGACGAATGCCTCGCAAGACGGAAAACTCGCTAGACGAAAGGGTTTTCCGTTTTTCGATGCACTTCGCAAGACGAATTTCCCTATGGGCTTGCTTCGCAAGACGAAAACGTCTTGCAAGTTTGTTTCCTTTTTCGTAAAACCGTTAATACCCAGGGTGCATTGCTGGAAGAGGTGCAGTTGCGACTTGACTTCGAGGAGCAACACATTGCACGCGGTGTGGTAGCCTTTTCTGAGGTTTTTGAGGACTTTGGCGATTTTTGAAGCTTTTCCAAAACTTCTTTTGCAGCTCTTTGGTAAGTTAAACTTTTAAAACTTTTTTGGGGGGCTTGGATTTTGGGTTGGGGTGTTTGGAATTCAAGGACTTGGTGTTGTGGAGAGGTTTGCAAGAATCTGGGAGCTTGTGTGGTTTTTTTCTGCATTTTTATGATTTTCTGTGACCATTGGGGCACTTTCTTTTTTTAAAAAAAATAATGGGTTTGAATTTCTGTGTGGTGGGTGGCTGGGGGGACAGTTCAGGAGGGGTTTGCAAGAATCTGGGAGTTTGTGTGGGTTTTTTTGAATTTTTATAATTTTCTGTGACCATTGGGCCATGTTGTTTTTTTTTCAAAAAAAAAATTCTAAGTTTGAATTTCTGTGTGGTGGGTGGCTGGGGGAGCAGTTGGGGAGGGGTTTGCAAGAATCTGGGAGCTTGTGTGGGTTTTTTCTGCATTTTTATGATTTTCTGTGACCATTGGGCCATGTTTTTTTTCAAAAAAAAAATCTGAGTTTGAATTTCTGTGTGGTGGGTGGCTGGGGGAGCAGTTGGGGAGGGGTTTGCAACAGTTGGGGAGGGGTTTGCAATTTCTGTGTGGTGGGTGGGTGGCTGGGGGAACAGTTGAGGTTTTTGAAGACTTTGGTGATTTTTAAAGCTTTTCCAAAACTTCTTTTGCAGCCATTTGAGGATTTTGAAGACTTTGGTGATTTGCAGCCATTTCGTAAGTTAAGTTAAACTTTTAAAACTTTTTGGGGGGTTTTTGGGTTGGGTGCTTGGAATTCAAGGACTTGGTTCAGGGTTTGAATTCCTGTGTGGTGGGTGGCTGGGTGCTTTTGAATTTTTTGGGTCTGAATCACTGATTTTTTTTTTCTTCCTGAGTTTACGAAGCTAGGAGCTGTGCTGCCATGGGACCCAAGAAGACTGCTGCTGCAGAGGCCGGCGAGAGGAAGAAGGAGAAGGTGACGCTGGAAATGAAGAAGGAGATCATCCGGAAGCACGACGGTGGAATGCGTGTGGCGGACCTCGCCAGGGAGTACGGCAGGAACCCATCGACCATCGGCACCATCCTGAAGATGAGGGAGAAGATCCTTGCGACTGATGCAGCCAAGGGAGTCACCAGGATCGTGAAGAACCGCCCAGCTGTTCTGGAGGAGGTCGAGAAGTTGCTCCTCATCTGGATAGAAGAGAAGCAGCGTGCAGGGGACACAGTGACTGAGGCCGTGATTTGTGAGAAGGCCAAGGCCTTGCACGCAGACCTCATCCGGGAACAGCCAGGAACCTCAGGCGAGCCAGAAGTCTTCAAGGCAAGCAGAGGCTGGTTTGACCGGTTCAAGACGAGATCCGGAATCCACAGCGTGGTCAGGCATGGAGAGGCTGCCAGTTCTGATGTTCCTGCGGCTGAAGACTTTGCCTTGGAGTTCCTGGAGGTTGTGAAGACGGAGGGCTACGTTCCACAGCAGGTCTTCAGCTGCGACGAGACCGGGCTGTTTTGGAAGAGGATGCCCAAAAGGACTTTCATCACTCAGGAGGAGGCCAAGTTGCCTGGCCACAAGCCCATGAAGGACCGTCTGACCCTGCTCTTCTGTGCCAACGCAAGCGGCGACCTGAAGATCAAGCCCCTGCTGGTGTACCACTCGGAGAACCCACGGGCCTTCAAGAAACACAAGGTCGACAAGGAGCAGCTGAGTGTCATGTGGCGATCCAACAGCAAGGCTTGGGTCACACGTGTGCTGTTTGTGGACTGGGTCAATCTTGCTTTTGGCCCTGCTGTCAAACAGTACCTGCTGGACAACGACCTGCCGCTGAAGGCTTTGCTTCTGATGGACAATGCTCCTGCTCATCCTAAAGGCCTTGAGGAGGACTTGTTGGAGGAGTTCAGCTTCATCAACATCATGTTCCTGCCGCCTAACACCACGCCACTGCTCCAGCCGATGGATCAGCAGGTCATCGCCAATTTTAAGAAACTCTACACCAAGGAGCTTTTCAGGCGATGCTTCGAGGTGACTGATTGCACCACCATCACCCTGCGGGAATTCTGGAAGGACCACTTCGACATCGTCACCTGCTTGAAGATGATCACCACGGCCTGGAAAGGGATCAGCCAGAGAAATTTGAATTGCGCTTGGCGCAGCCTGTGGCCGGACTGTGTGGCACCAAGTGACTCTGATGCACCAGAGTCAACAGTGGTGCAGGACATTGTTGCCTTGGGGAGGACCATGGGCCTGGAGGTCACAGAGGAGGACGTCAGCGAGCTGGTGGAGGAGCACGACCACGAGCTGACCACCCAGGAGCTGGTCGAACTGCAGGCAGAGGCTGCGCAGGAGCAGGCCTCGCTGGAAGAGGAGGAAGCAACTGAGGAACAGCTGTCCTCCAAAGAACTGAGGGACATTTGCCTGAAGTGGAAGGATGTGCAGGCTTTTGCAGAGCGGAACCACCCTGACAAGCACGTGACACGTGACCTTGCGAACAGTTTTGATACAAGGGTCATGTCGTCTTTCAGGGAGGTGCTGAAAAGGCGGATGAAGCAGCAGACCATGGACAGGTTCTTAAGCAAGAAGCAAAGAGTGGAAGAGGAACCTTCTTCTTAGAAAATGTAATGTACCCTTTTTTGATTTTTAAATGTTTTTCCTGTCATGTTTAGAAACTTAATTTATTGTTCCTTCAATTTTTGAAATGCTCTTTACAGTATGTGTGACTTTAAAGAGCACTTAATAAACTCTTGTTGTACCAAATTTGGCTTTGTTTGGACTTTTTGACCATAGGAACGCATTAATTGGATTTCAATGCATTCCTATGGGATTTCGTGCTTCGCAAGACGAAAAATTCGCTAGACGAAAAAACTCGCGGAACGAATTAATTTCGTCTTGCGAGGCACCACTGTATATGAAATAGTCTGTGATGTTTTGGATCTTTTTAGCTGTGGTATGTTTGGACCGTAATCGGGGTGGGGGTTTTTTGTTTTTGTTTTTTGTCTTTTTAACATTTTTCAAGTTGTGTTTAAACATTTCTTGTTACATTGCCCAGAGAGCCATGTTACAGGGCAATTAATGAATAAGTGAAAGTAAGTTGGATGTATTGTATTGAGCAGACGTATAGCTGCCAGAGGTCCAACCTTCCATCCTCCCCAAGAGGGAGGAAGCTTGGGATGCACAGGAACTCTGCTTATACGATATTGTATTAAACAGCTGCACAACATGGATAAAATGCAACTGGTGGTGATTTCTACCACCCCTGATTAAACAAAGTCTAGCTATCAGATTTCTGTCTCACATACTGGTGTTAAAATGCACAGGAACTGTGCTAGGGCTTATTCTCTCCCTCCCTCCCTCCCCCCCCCCATTCCTGCCTCCCCATTCTACTTGTTGGATTGTTTCTGCAGTATTATTTGAGATACGGGATGCTGGTGGTGCTGTGGTCTAAACCACTGAGCCTCCCTGCAATGTTGCTCTGTCCCAGTTCCTGCCAACCTAACAGTTGAAAGCACACCAGTGCAAGTAGATAAATAGGTACCACTGCAGCAGGAAGGTAAACAGTGTTTCCGTGCGCTCTGGTTCTCGTCATGGTGTTCCGTTGCGCCAGAAGCAGCTTAGTCATGCTGGCCACATGACCCGGAAAGCTGTGTGTGGACAAACACTGGCTCCCTTGACCTGAAAGCGAGATGAGTGCCGCAACTCCATAGTCGCCTTTGACTGGACTTAACCATCCAGGGGTCCTTTACCTTTTACCTTTAATTGTTTGAGATACATTATTGCTTTTCCTAGTTGGGTTGAGCTCCTGTATATTTAACAGTGCATGACAGGCAGAAGCCTGCTAACTGTATTCTTCATTCATACCTGGGGGGGGGGGGAATCTCTTCGATTTCTGCCTCCCTTGCAGCTAAATGCACAGGAACACTCCTAGGAAAAATAGTTCACATATATGATTGTTATAGGCATTTTGCAGCTACATGACAGGTAGAAATTCAACAAAATTCATTCATTTTTTTTTCAAAATATAGTCTGGCCCTCAACAGTGTCTGAGGGACAGTGAACTGGCCCCCTGTTCAAAAAGTTTGAGGACCCCTGCATCAGAATGACTTCTGTGGTCTTCCTATTAGAGGACCAGGGAGATGGATTTTGTGTGTTCCGACTGAGACCCTCATGGGAACACCTGCATGCTCAAGGGCTAAGTAGAGCTTCCTATTGCAAATGTTTGTTGAATACCACCATGTGTATAGAAACTAGCCCACTGTGCAAAGGTAAAAGCACACTGGGTGCCCTCTGGCTGAAAAAGCTTCCCCACCCCTTTCTCAGGAAATGGGGCAGCTGATAAGGCAATACTCATTTGCATCACAAATCAGGAAAGTAATCAACACAGCCTGGGCAGGCATGACCTTAGCTGCCTTCCCACTCTACTGGAGTGGGTGGGGGTAGGATGTTATGAACATTTGCATGCTATTGCATCAAGAAGGGGTACACACGTGTGTGTGTGTGTGTGTGATTTAGCAACAAAAAGCAGTTAAATTCCTCTAGCTGCATAAATTAAAGCTCTTTTATCTCAAGGCTAAGCTGCTCCCTGGAGCTGATAGGTGAACTCACTTTATTCTGCTGGTAATTGCTCAGTCTCCTTCACTCACTGCTTTGCAGCTATGATACTCTTTTAGAAACACAATGGAGGGAAGAAGGGGTTTGAATATATCAGTAAGGAAGGTTCTGTGCTCCATCTCTTAGCATGAAAGGGGTCGGCCTCAGCAGTTGTGAGTCATGCTTCATCAGCCAGGAGAAAATATCCTCCTCGGAGAGATGGAAAGTGGCAAGAATGAATTCAAAGGTCAGGGTGGGTGGACTACCTCTGCTATGCTGGCCCCCCACCCCACCAGTCCTGGATGACCCCCCACCCTAACTTTTTTCATTTCAGCACCACAATACATTTTGCTGCTGCCATTGTTAAACAACTGGCATTCAGAAAGCCATGCCTTGTCTGCTTCAGATCACAAAGATATCAGCCAGTAGATCCAGAACGACCTTCTGGCCACCCCTGAATTAGATGGCTATGCCTTCAATCATACATTCAGGCTAACTGGCCTTTTCCCAGCCCTTCCAGCACCCTGGAACAAGGTGATTTGTGCCACTGATGTGACTATCTTTCTATACAGCGGGGGGGGGGGGGGACAGGGATGGGGACATCCATGGATCTCCAGACATTACTGGACTATGACACCCATCATCTCTGACCATGCTGACTGGGGCTGATGGGAGTGGGAGGGCCGCAGCTCTCCCACCCCTGTAATATAAGGTGTTCAGAAAATATTGGACTTGTTCACCATAACGAGCCAATTTCTCCTATTACCTGGAGCCAGCCCTGCTTTGTGGGAAGTTCTACCTGGAGCCAGCCTACCAACTTCATTTTCAAAGTTAAGAGAAAGGTGATTTGCTTATGCTTGCTTGAACAAGCTGCACGTCAGATGTCTCAGTGGTCTTATGTTCGCAAGAATGGAAGGAAAAGCTAGTTTATGCAATCTTCCTGTAGAGAAGGAATAGGGAACTTGTGGCCCTGAAACTCCCATCCGTCCCAGCCAACATGGACAGGGGTGATGGGATTTGTAGTCCAGACACATCTGGAGGGCACCAGGTCCTTCATCCCTGCTGTAGAACTTGTCTGGCAGTGCCTTCTTCTAAAAACACCCTTGATTGCAAGATTATCATATGACTGTGAGTGCCAATCATCCTGGGCTAGACTGAATTTTCCTTCCGGCCAGGAATGCTCATTTGAGAACAAAAAATGCTGGGGTTGAATGAGGCCCCAAAAAAGGCTTTCTCTGCCTTTTTATGGGAGTTGCAAATGCAAACTAGATTAAACTTGCTCTGTGTTATTATCTAGCACATCTAAAGTGCAAGTCTTCTTCCTACCGCACAAAGCAGATTGGCCGAGAGAGAGAGAGAAAATGCTGCAGTCTTGCAAGCGCGCAACACATGTGCCTGTATCATGCTCTGATTACGGTTTCCACACAGTGTTTCTTCAACTCCCTCTCCTGACATAAACCAGCACCCCCCTCTTCTGCCAGGAGGCACCTGTGTTTGATCTTCAAATGGAGCAGAGATAATCTGAAAGCCAAGAAATTACACGCTCCTCTTTGTGAATTCCAAAACCATCCCTTCCTCTGAGACCCAACAGCCACAGCAGCAGAAAAGAAGAAAATGTGTTTGTTAAATGGGGGGGGGGGAGAGTATGCCACTGTATGGAGTCGCTGCTACAGTGCACATAAATATTGAATGCTGTGCTGAGCCCCCCCTGGTAGCATAATATGAAGTCAGATCTCAGATGGAGGATATGTATAAACAGAGGTTCTGTTTCTGAAGGAGCAATTCTGAAGGCTAAACACAGGATCTCTGGTTTCCAGGGTTGGGTCTTTTTGGCTGAAGATGGAATGTAGCATTTGTAAGGCAGTAGAGATGCTTTGGAAGTTCCTGGCCAGTATAAATGCATACTTATTCTTCACCAGGAAGCAGCAAGTTATTAGGTGGATTACTCAGTAGATTTCCCCTTTAAATGCCACATCTGTCTTCAGCCTGAGTGAACAGGTGGGGGTGGGGTGGAGGAAAGACATGGACTGTCCAGATAGCCAAGACTGGTCCCTTTCACCCTCCTTTCACCTTCCTGCCCCACACCACCAGCCCATACTCTTCTGATGCCAATGGAAGCTGGCCTTCTGCATGGCCAGGGGCAGGGAGAGCATCCCTCCTTGCAGCAGAGGCAGATTTAGGGCCCCACACCTAGGGGGCGCTGCAGGGCATTGCAACCAAGACATAGTGAATTGAGTAGAATGGAAGGTGAGAGGTGGGGGGGGGGAGGCTCTGAATTTTGGCCTTGCACAAGGTGCCACTGAAATGTGAAAGACCCAAGTCCTTCCCTGCTGTCAGCACTGAATTAAGATACAGTGAGGCCCCAGGCCATGTGGAGTTTAAGAGGTCCGTAGTGGTGCTAAAATCAATGCTATTTTTGGTATATATTTTTGGTCCTATCAGAACAATTGTGTCTATTTTAGAGTCTCTTTCCCCAGTTTCCTTTAATTTTTTAAAAAGCCAATTATGTAAGACTTGAAATTCAGTAAAAATGTCAACTTAGTGTAAGTTTTACTCAGCATAGACCCACTGAAATTAATGAACATATGACTTAAATTAGGGTTATTCATTTCAAAAGGTCTACTATGAGTAAAATTTAGCTGAATGCAAACCCTCATATTTAGAGGTCATTCATAGTCTGAGGCCCTAACCTGTTGTTTGCTTAGGTTGCCCATAAATCCGCCACTGCCTTCACTCCCTGGGAGTGGGCTGTATTTCACTGCAGCTGCAGTACAAGAAAAAGGGTTAACCATCCCTCATGCACCATGATTTTGAGCCTAATCTCCACCCCCACCCTGCCTCACAAAAGTTGGGGAAGGTACAATTAATGCACTCACAATTCTTTTATTCTTTTAAGTGTCCATTCGGACCCTTTTCTCCATCAAATTCTCTATATTGCTTCTGGGCAGGTTTGCTTAACACAGCAGTTGTGCAGCGTCTTCAGACGTTGTAGGGGTTCTCGTGGCTCAAAACCAAAGAGACAGTTTTTATGAAACACATTTTTCTCCATGATTATTCCTAAGCCTGTATATCTCACAAAAGGTGTATTTGTAGCTGACTTTAAAAAAGAAGAAGCTGCACAGTTCAGATCATTGCTAAATGGGTCGTGCCCTCTGGCAGACTCTGTTTGGGCTAAGTCCCATTCCCTTGCAATCTGTTTGATCCTGCTTGGTGTCTAGTAGCACGTTGGAGCTAAAGCAGCATGTTGGAGCTGTGAGTTTCTGGGATCCTGCCGGAATGGTTTCTGGTCTGCTGGAGTTACAGAAGGGGAGCCTGGTAGTCCAGCAGTGTTCTAGTTCCCATGACAACACCCTCGTACGTTTCCTGGGTGACAGAGCCGCTCCAAATTAGGTACCCTGTGTGGTGTGTGAAATATTAGAGGCTGTCAAATGTTTGCCCGTTTAGCTTTCTATTTAGCAAAAGTCATGCTTTTGAAGGGGAAGATGCATCCTGAACACACCTATAATGCTGAAGTCATGGAGGGTAAATGAAGCAGCCCTCAGGAAGTATTGCCCTTATTCTTAACACATTGTTGTGCAGCAACATTATCTCCAAGCAGTGCAAGATTCCAGGGGTTCCAGCCATTTACCCAGGGTTCGTGTTTCCTTTTGGGAATGAGGCATGGCAGAGACTGTGGTGTCTTTGTGATATGTGGCTTCTTTACGCATATATACAACCTGAGCCTACAATGGAGGGGTTCCCAGCACCAAGACCCCAAAGGGGTATTGTTTCTTTGATAGCTGCAACCATGGATTCAAGCAGAAATCAGCCATGTCCCTCTGACCCTCTGCTTGCTACTTTTTCCTCTCCCTCACATCACACAAAACTAAACTCTGAACTCTGGGTTTTGTTCTTATCACTCTCTCATTGCTGGGGGAGGGACCCCACCCATCTGTCACCCACAGTGGCTTAGAGTGGGGGGCTGAGGGATGCTTGGCCCGGATGCATTTTGGGGAGGGGGCGCAACTAGGCGCCCCCATGATAGGCTCCCTCATTGGAGCCTGGCTCTGGTGGGCGAGGGAGCTGCCGAGCCAGTTTCCTTGCTCCCGGCTGCAGTAGCTCCGCTCCCGGGTCAAGCCTGGGGGTGGAGTGCAGTGCTGCCTCTCTCCTCAACTGGGCTGCGTGTGTGCCTGGCTGCAGCTCCACGCCTGGGTCAGGTCTGATGCTCGGATTAGTGATGTTCAGATCTAGTATTCAGGTGTCTTTTTCCACCTACCTCCTGTCCTGGGTAAAACTGATTAGCGGATGAGTTGGCAGGAAATACCTCTTTGGGCCCAATGAGGGAAATATTTTCTGTATTGATTTTATTTTGTTTTTTGTTTTTTGGTTAAAAGTCAAAAGCAATGCCCAGTCAGTCCTAATTGCTTGTTTGCACATTCATCAGTCATTCTTTTACATTTCTCTGACTAGGCATTCTCAGACCCATTGGGGTCCTGAAGAGAGTTGCAAAGCTCCGCAAAGGCCTATGGTCCTGTGCCTCAATCAGCATCTTGAGCCACAGATAACCCTAATCCCAAAAAGTACTACAACAAGGAGAACCATAGAAACACCATAAATTGAACTGAATTTAATGAGAAGCAATTTAATCCAAAAAATGAAACATTCCAAAAGTTTAATGAGCCACCACCACATTATAACAACATTATGGAAGAACTCCACTCAATACACCCTGAGAATCCCTGGGAGTTTTCTCATTCATGCTATCCTTCCCCCAAATAATCCTGGGAATTGTAGTTTGCCCCTCACAGAGCTGTAGTTCCCAGCACCAGCACACTATAGTTCCCAGGATTCTTGAGGATAGGCAGTGTTCTTTTGTGCATGATTCTCTGGGGGGGGGCAGCCAAGGGCGTTACTTGCACCTATTTTGAAACAAGTGAACCAGGTTTATCTCCTGACTGATTTGGTGACTCTCCCTGGCTTGCCAAAATTATGCCCCCTTCATCATGGCATGATTCTGTCTGCTTCTTTATTAACGTATTGCTCTTTTCCCCCTCCCTTGTGTCTCCTCTCCACACATACAAATCCTTCTCTCCCAGAAATTGATGAAGACCGCCTCCCCAACCCTCTTTTGAAGGTATGTATAACTTCTCCAAGGGGTGAGGAACTGAAGTCCAGTTTCATTTATCCAGCAAAAATGGGTGCTAAAGTATGTCCTGGATAGAACCATTTCAAGCTGCAGATACAGTTTTAAGGCACCCCCAGTGAAAATTCTCCATGCACATAGAAAAATGAAATGTCAGTGAAAAGGTTCTCCCTGGTGTGCTAGCTTTCTATGTGAAGAGGATGGTTGTTTGTTGGCAAGCGTTGACACAGGCAACCTTCTTCCACCATGCACCTAGTCCAGGAAAAGGCTTCATTGCTTGATCGTATAGTAAAGTGGTATTTATTTAACATTAATTTGGGGAGTGAGAAAGAAAGAATATTATCTTTCTAAGCCAATCCAAGTGCTTGGAAGGGTGCCTTCTGATCCTCACCAAACGTCTTGCCATCACCACCAGCTCCACCACCTAATGCACATCCTTTCATTTCAGTTGGTGATCATATAAGTCCTCAGAAGAGCTACTGATCTCATGGTAGGAGGAGAGAGGGAGCATTTGCCACTGCTGCTCCTCTTCCTTGACTTAAGGAGCAGTGGCTTGAAGGAGAGTGTCGTGATGGTGCTGGTGGAAAGATCTGGTGTGGATGGATAGGGGGGAGCTAACACTTCTTATCTCGTTTGGATTTTAATCTAGCCAGGGGAAAATTCCTGGCCTTGAAATATTTCCTAATGTGGCAAGTTTTAGGAGCTGCTAAAATTCTTCTCCAAACATAGAGAAGTTCACCAGCATCTTCCACCTCCTATTGTCAGCTGATGGGCATGTGGGGGCTCACCTTGTACCATCAAAGGAGTAATCCAGAATGCACCTTAAGTTCCCAAATGTTCCTTTGAAGCCCCACCCATAACCACCTCACACCTGATGCCATAAATGATGTCAGGTGTAAGATGGGCTTCCACAGACCAGTCTCACAAGTCAAATGGGGAGGCCTGGCAATTTGGCCCATGTGCCCACAGGCTGCTCACCCCTGCTTTAAGAGCCCCATAGTGAGTAGGAAGTCAACGGGTGCTGGTTTTCCTGACATGAGACTGCAGTGAATGGGAGCACTTCCCACATCATGCCTCCATGGGAGTGGACAAATCAGGCACCCTTTTTGGTTTGAATCTTGAAGGGAGGGGCTGCAGGTGGGGAGGGACTTCTTCTGGCAGGTTGTTGCTATGTAGACTAAAGGCACCTGCCCATCAGGCAGTGGCACGTTCTCTCCAGACGGACTGGGCCCATCAGAGAGGAGAGGCTGCATTTTGAGAGGCCTTGTTCTCACTGAGCGTCTTCTCTTTCATTCCTGAACTGGCAGGATCCAGATTCAGGACATAGCTAAAGTTTTGCTCCAGAGTTTCCACCTAGGGGCTCATCAGGTATTTTCACCTCTCCCCCCACCCCCACCTTTCTTTACAGCCAGGAATGTCGATGTCTCCAAGGCAGAGGAAGAAGGTTTCTCGCACCACCCCCACCATGAAAGGTAACAGTGGCTGCAGTTTAGGGACTAGTTGACTCCAAGTGAAGAGCCCTTAATGATTCTTGCCATTACCCAGCCTGAGCGTGTTGCTTCACTCTGGGAAGGAATGGAGGTTTTTCTTAACTTCGTACGGATATTGGCAGTGCTTTGAAAGCAACAAGCTCTCTCGCTGCTTTCCCCCGCTCTGAAAGGCTTGGCACAATGTCTTTCTCTGCACTCTAGAGAAGATCAAGAGTTCTGTCAGTGAGGTTCTGTGCAGGATAGGCTAAACCCCTGCGTCTTCCCCACTTCATCAGCTTGGAGATGGGGGAGAGCGCTGGGGCTCACAGCCACAGCTCCTTCAAATGGCAGCATGTTTCACCCCCGCAGTATTTCCCCCTTCTCTTTGTGAGGTAATGGCAAGGTCAGTAGCCAGCACAAGTTTTTGTCTGGCTGTCTATTGACTTGCTTGCTAAAAGCACTGAAGGCCCACAGATGGAATGGCTGTTTTTTCAAAGGTGTGCATGCGCATGCGCACACACAGACACACTGCTATGTCCCTTGCTTGGCAGTATCCCAGGAATGCCATCCTGTAATTAATGACATGGTCGTTTAAGAGAGATTAGGATTTATTTTTAAACACACATCCTCCAATTATAGGGCTGGAAGGTACCTTCAAAGGTCATCCAATCCATTCTGTTCCCCCCAACTGGTCTTAAGCCCATTTGCACGTAAACAGCCCCAGGCAGATGCTTCTCCCAACCTATTTTTACAAATGCTCATTCATGGCATTGCTCCAGAATGTCCAACTCTTAGAGACGTGATCTACCCCCATGGAAGACCCACACCTCCGCCCCCCCCCCCAAGTGGGTCTGTACCAATTTAAGATGGATTCCTGCATGTAGAACAGTTGCCAACCTGATATCCGCTTGTAGTGAGGGTTTTAGTTATTTTTCACTCATGCAAACCTACCCACTCCCATTTGCAGTTGAACATTCTGAAGTGCCCACAAAGATGTCCTGTGTGATTCTTCTGTACGTGTGGATGGGTTCTAAGTTGTCTTTGTGTTTTCCCATCTACAATTTTCTTCTTTCTGTCTGACTAAATGTGTCTGGTCCCCCCTCCTCCTCCTGCAATCTTTCCTCATAAATTTTGCATTGAACCATTTTATATTTTGCATTGCTCTACATTCCCTCCAATTTGCCCACCCTGCTATTTTTTAAGCCTTGCAGAGCACAATTCTCAGGCTGTGACAGAGTCACAGGATCCATTTTGGAGCACAGAGAGATCAGGGTTGAAAGAGGAACAGGTTCCATAACTAGAGGTCATTATGACTCGTGGGTGATGGAGAAATTCTGTTTTCCAGAAAACAGGTTCAAGTTCTGACAACCAGGATTCAAGGTCAAATATTCATATACTAGGTCATTAGGCATTGGGTCAAAAAGGGTGATAATGGCACTGACAGTGTGCTCCTATGCATATCTGCTCAGAAGTGAGTCCTCCTGACCTTAGTGGAACTTACTCCCAGGTAAAGTATATAAAGGAGCCCAGGGGTAGGAAGCATGGAGTACAGGAAGTGGTTTAGAACACTGTTCTTCAACCTTGGGGGATTGTAACCAACAAAGTCTTTCTGTTGGCACATCTCCGCAATGGGACTTTGCCTCCCCCACATCTAAATCCATTCTGTGATTTACCCCAACACTCTGGAACAAATTGCACAGGGGGCAGGAGAGGAGAGGGAGAGAAAGACCTGGTACGCAGGCAGAAATCCTTGCACCAAAGGGACCATTTCGTTTGCCACAACCCTGTGTGTTGGGCTACAACTACACCTTCCTTCAGTTCCCAAGTCATCAAAAAGCACTGCCTACTGGTAGCTGAATGTTTCTAAATGAACAACTCTCCTTTTTTACAACTGGGCTTAAAAAAAATTAAATGTGTGCACAGGAAATCGTCCCAGACTCTTTAAATTTCATATTTTTCATGAGGTTTTCTTCCTCACCTTCTCCCTCTTTCAGAGCTCCAGCTGATGGTTGAGCACCATCTCTGCAAGCAGCAGGCAGATGAGGAGGATGTCAGCACTGGGAGCCAGGAGCCACACAGTCCAAGCTGCTGCCCTCATGCCAACTCAGAACCTGGCCACAGTCCTGGGAGTTGCCCTTTGGCCCAAGCTCATGCTCAGCTGGGGGAGCCCATTGGCCTGGAGGAACGTGAGTATGTTTCAGTCAACTAGAGGCATTACCCACTTTTCCTAGCTAGCATGGGTGAAGGGAGTTGTCATCCGAAACATCTGGAGGGCTTGATGAAGCCCTCCAGATGTTTTGATGAAGGTTGATGAAGGTTAGCCTACATTTTATGCTTTATTTTAGGGTTCTCATATTTTGAAGAGCAAAAAAGAGGACACATTTGCCAACTTCTACTTTTAGCAATGGATAACTATGATGACACTCATTTTATGTGCCCATGAAAAGGAGAGCATGTCCTGGAAAAAGAGGACATATGGCAACCCTACATTTTATCCCATAGAATTCAGTGGGGGCATAGAGGTCTTTTCTGATTTGTGCAGTCCTTTATCTGCATAGCACCACCCTGGAATCTGTTTTTGTTTTTTTTAAATGGTCCATGTAATATGATCGGTCCATGACAGCCTATGTGAAAGCAAGCTGTGCATTAACACAATGCTGCTGCAGATCATGCTAATAGCCTGTGCGTGTGGCAGGACACTCTTCTCCTCCACACTGCAGCAGGCAGCCTGAATGCAAAGTCATGCCAAAAAATCCTTTGTCTAATAAGGAGATCCAACAGTGGCCTCTAGCGGATGTAGTTCAAAATGATAGCCGAGCTTTGCTTGAGTCCTCTCTCTGTGTGTGGGGGGGGGGAGGCCTTCCTGGAGGGAAGCGTTTTGATCCACTCCCTGTCTTGATAAATGATTTATCAGGGATGTTCTCTCTAACAAGCTCTGCCCAAGCCCCTTGTCAAATATTCATAGTGTGAGCGTGTCCTGCAAAGTGCTGCGGCTGGATGATGGGCTCAAAACAGCTGTGGTCTCCCCTTTGACATTTCACAGAAGAGGGAAGATGGCTGCTCTTGTTTTCCATTATAAACAGGACTTCAGAGTGGAGCAGGGAACAGACAAAAAGAGCAAACTGCTTCCCTAGAGACTTGTGTCATGTCCCACCAAGGGTTGTGAGTGGGGTTCTCCCCCAACACTAAGCTCAAGTAATGTATGTTTTATTATTTCCCTTGGTTGAGAACTCACAGCTTTTGAGGAATATGCTATGGGAAGCTGTCGTTCAAGACATAACAACTGGAACTTCAGCCAGGGCCAGCCTAACCGTAGAGTCAGGCTAGGGGCCTTCCTCAGCTTTCTCTTGGAGAAAGAGACCATTGCCTGCACCTCTGGAGGAAGGGCATCCTGGCAGAGGCTTAGCTACTGGGCTGAAATTGCCCTTGTCCTTTCCTGGGGATTCAACCAAGAGCCACCTTGATCTCTCCCATCCCCCCTGGGGCACAGGCACAATTGTAAGCTGGAGGAAGTAAAAAAAAGTGGCAGGCATTTGACCATGTTTCTCCCTATATAAAAAATAATAAAAAAGGCAAAACAGGTCCAAGATGTTTGGGCTATTTTATGAGAAAATGTGTGTCTGTTATATGGGAGACTCAACAAGAACAGTTCTTATTTTGCTTGCCCCAAGTAAGAACATAGGAGCTCGGCTGGATCAAGCTAATGGCCCATCTGGTCCAGGTTTCTGTTCTGAGAGGGCCAAGCAGATGCCATGGACAGCCTGCTCCTCCGTGAATTTATCCAGCCCTTTTTAAAGCCATCCAAGTGGGTGGTCATCCCTGTATCTTGTGGGAACGATTTGCACAGTAACTATGCACTGTAGGAAGAAGTGTTTAATTTTGCCTGACCTAAATCTCCCAACATTCAGCTTCTTTGGATGTCCCCAAGTTCTAGCATTATGAAAAATGGAGAAAAACATCTGCCTCTGAACTTTCTCCTTGCTGTGTATAATTTTATATACATCTATTGTGTCCCTCCTGAACTCATCTTTTTTTTCTAATTCCAGAGGGTGCATTATAGAGAAACAGTGTTGTGTTAGAAAGGTGGGGTGTGTGTGTGTGTGTGTGTGAGAGAGAGAGAGAGAGAGAGAGAGAGAGAGAGAGAGAGAGAGCTGCTGTTGACTGAATGAATTGTACAATCACAATAGTAAAGGACTGGTAAAAGAGGTAGCATGTTACACTTTTCAGCGCTTCCATAGACAGAGGTTTCTAATATATGTAACTGATAGATGTCCAGGAATCTGAGGGTGAGTTTCAGTCCAGTTTAAGGAATGTCCAGCACAATAGCATGTGATTTAAATTACAAGGATTTAAAATGAAACTGAGAAGATGTAAATCCAGTCAACTCTTGGAAATGTTAGGTGGCTTGTCTTGTAATAGGACACAGTGGTGGAGAGTTCAACATTTTGACTTGCCTAAGGCAGCATCAACAAGAATCTTTTGAGCTAGCGGTATTTTTAATACAAACTGGCCCAGTATCATGAAGCAGCAAAAGACAATACACCCAAAACAAAACCCATTATAGGGACCAGCATTATCACATTCATTCTCCTTGCAAGAACCTAAATACTCTTGAATGTCTTGAATTTTGGTGAAAAGAATGGTAGTTCTAGTTCCTTTTTGATGTTTTGTAAGAGTGTGATTCAAGAGAGGTTTAGAGTTGGACTCAGTGGCATGAAAATGCCATCCCTAAGAGATGGAAGGAGCTGCAGTGCCCAGTCAGTTAGCCTGGCTCTCTTAATAACTCCACCCTATGGCACTTCATGCATAAGTAAAGTATGCATCATGGACAAATGCATCATGCAGGCGATTCTATGTACCTACACACAGGTTTTCCTGTGCACACTCCCCCCCCCCCCCCGCTTTTGTCAAATCACAGTGCCTCTTGCATTGTCAGGAGGCTGCCGTTTGTGTGATGGCACAGAGAACTGACTTTGGAAATGAAGACCTCACTACACGATTCTCTCTGGATATTGACCTTTGTCAGTGATGGTCCATGCCCCCCACCCCGATAGCAGGCTTGGGGAATCTATGGCCTTCCAGATGTTGTTGAATTAAAACTCCCATCAACCCCAGCCAGCACAGCTAATGGTCAGGAGAATGGAAGTTCTATTCCAGCAACATCTAGAGAGCCGCAGGTTCCCCACAGCCACCCTACAGACACATTCGTCACTCTTGAGACACCTGCCTTTACCCATTCTCCAAAGCAGCATACACCTTCCTTTAGGCTTTGTATGGGGTTTCTTATCACCCTCAGCTCCTGCTTCAAACCTTCTTGCCTCACTTCTTCACTCAACCTGATTTCTGGGCCTATTATCCCTTCGTTCCCCCACCTTTTCAGATGACTGCACCCATCTCTACTCAGCACCTGCGGCTGATCCTTCCTCTTCCAAAGCCAGAATGTTTATGAACATTCCATGATGGCCATTTGTCCACAAAACTTCTCTGTGCGTATAGGCAGCTATATGCACATAGCAACCCACTCCCATCAACATTTTCTCAACACATGAACATTGAAGCTGAGGTGGTGGGCACTTTCCTGTTTTCATGTGCACACATGTGATTTGCACACAGAGGAGGCTCTTCTGAGCAGCCCTGTTGCAGCTATTTAGTCAATGGTTATGGAAGGCACACAAGTTGCAAAGGTAAAAATGTACACTGTTATAGAATATTGATCAAATGGTTACATTAACAAAATGTACATTACAACTTTCTCTGTTACCCTCTATTAAAGAAATCACCATCATACTCCCTGTTCTTTTCCCATAGACAAAATGCCCCAACTGAAGATTTTCTTAAGGAATATACTTGATGCAGTCTAGGCTTAATTAGCAGCATTAAGATACTTTTCTCTTCTTTTACTTTTTTGATCCCTTTGCTGGGGAAACCGAGCCAGATGGGCAAGGTAGAAATAATAAATGATTATATAATAATCATTATGATTATATAATCAATTATTATTCCTATTACTATTGCACACCCTCGCAATCCTTTGCATGCGTGGAGCTTCCAAAGAGTTGTCTGCTCACTTTAACAGAGGTAATGGCTTCTCAAGTGCCAAGAGGTGTGCATACAGTTTTCTCTGGCAGGGTTATAGATGGGGGAAGGCACACATGCTGGAGTTCAGAATGCCCATGTGGCCATGTGGATTTGGGGAGAGGGGGCTGGCTATGACTGGAATTTATTGTCATGACACACTGAGTTTAACATTCCCTGTGAGCTTCCCATTATTTATTATTCATACCTTCCCAAATCTTCCCTGAGCAGTTCCAACCAATTGAGAATCTATCCATGCATATATGTAGTGAGAAGTAAGTATAACTGTGTCTGCTTATTAACAGTGAATCTCATCTGGTATGCCTTTACTCAGTGACCCAGTTTAGAGAGATTTCTCTGGAGCTGTTTTGACAGCCGTTCTTTGGTTTTATTGTTGTTATTGTTCTGTATACGCCAGTATCATCTGCCAATGTTGCTGTTCTCCCTATTCCGCTCCGCGGCTTGATTGTTTTGTGAATCAATTAAAAAATCCCTCCATTTCCTCATGGACTTATTGACAATTGTTTTGTGCAGAAGGAAGCGTCACGGGAGCTTGCTGCGCAGAGAGACCCAGTAATGTGAAGCCAGACCTGTCCTCAGAGAAGCAAGGAGTTCATATACCACCGGAGAGCTCTGGGGAGAAGCAGAAGCTGGCCAAGGAGTATGTATAGCTGTGCCTCTAAATTTGGGGAGGGGGCAGGAAAAGTGAGATAAAGGAGGCAACTCTGCTCTGAATAGAATGGACACCCAGGCGTGTATTATACCAATTCTGAAATTGCCGTCATTAGTGATATATAGTCTTCCTTTATGAGCTAGGGAAAGTATTGCAGGGAAAAGCCTTTGACTTTGCTGAATGGTTACCTCTTTGGGGTTTGGAAAGTGAAAGTAATTTGCAATTCACCTTTCTCTTGCTCCTTCATAGCTATTATTTCCCCAATCTGTTGCTGCTTCAGCTTGCTTTCCCTAGGCTTAGGGCTTTCCTCCCCCACTTCCTTCTTGTAATCCAGGTCAGTGATGGCTTAGCAAAATGAAGTTGATTTAGAGTGAAGCAGCACTGCCTTTCCTTGGAATGGGTGAACACTTTTTGCCACATTTTTAAAAAAAGATCACCTGTAAAATACTGTACCAAAATCCAGGAAGAGGTGGATGGTTCATAGCTGCTGGATTTTGTGTGTGTGCAAACAGTAGCTTCACATTTTCAATCGTTTCTTTCAATCAGTTATTTCTATTGTCCCCCACCCCCACCCCAGGAGAGCAGGCTAAAATGTGATAGCAAATAACACCCATTCACTTGGAATTTCAGCATTTTCTGAAATGCAATGCAAATGTTTGCCCAGATGAATAGGGACACTGTATATCCCAGAAGCGCATCAAGATCTCTCTGCACATAGTAAGGAAGAATAAACCCATAGTTCTGCCTTGGTGCATAGTAACCCTAATATGACCTGCTGTATGCACATCAAAGAAGAAATTCCATATGTTGGCACACATGCATGGCACTTAGCAGAACACTGATGCAATGTGGATACTTTATTCTGCAAGGGGTATGTACATCTTAACATAGGGATGGATGAATATCAATGCCAAAATAATGGGTTGTGGCCAATGTTAGTCCTACTTGGAGTAGACCCATTAAAATGAATGGATAAGACTACCAGGTCTATTAAGGTAAATATGTCTACTCAACCTGGTGGTGGTTAACCCCAACCCCCCTTTTTTCTGTTTTCTAAACTTAAAAACATGTCAAACATGAGCCTTTTATACATAGGAATGGCACTCAGGGCAATATTTGAAAATGCTCATTCAGATATTGCTGCGTGAACCACCTTTGTGATTCTTCAGTTCATGCATTTCAGCACTGAGCAACTGAACAGGAAAATGGGTTTGAGAGCTATGCTTAAATAAAGGCAGCGTGTCCAGGTGAACCTGAGGGGGAGACAGAGGATGCTCTGGGGTACAAAATAATCATGATAAAATGTTTATCTTTTGCTGTGCATGTGCAAGCAAGCTGTATTGCAGATCAAAAGGCCACAGGTGCCAGGCCATCTGCATGACCTCTGGCACAATGCAGACACATGCAGCTGCAAGTCCCGCAGTGATAAAAATCATTGGATGGTGTGAGAGTAGGGAGAGAGCGAGAGCATGTTAGCTCTGCGGGTATCAAATTCCCTTTGTGGATGCCTGGATTATGAAGTCTCACTGTGACTTCAATTAGTTCTCCTTTCAGCTTAGATTAGTTCATTTCAGATCAAATTGGTCAAGGGAAAGGTTTGGTTGCTTCACTCAAGCCCAGGCTTAATGAAAACTGAAAGGGACGTTCTTTGTACTTTAGTATACTGAGAATGAAGATACAATGTGGGCCCCAGGGGAGATGCAGACACATGCAGCAGACTTGGCACAAGTCTTCACTCTCTGGCTCCCGCACACCTGAGTGCCTACCGGTACCCGGCAATGTGTTGTCTTAACACAAAGCACAAGCCAAACAGAAGCAGAGATTTCAAGGTTCTTCAACAGTAAGAGCTGTTTGACAGTGGAATTTGCTGCCAAGGAGTGTGGTGGAGTCTCCTTCTTTGGAGGTCTTTAAGCAGAGGCTTGACAACCATATGTCAGGAGTGCTCTGATGGTGTTTCCTGCTTGGCAGGGGGTTGGACTCGATGGCCCTTGTGGTCTCTTCCAACTCTATGATTCTATGATTCTATGATTCTATGATGCATTCAGGCACCACTAAAAGTGATGACAACCCTCTTATTAGCATTGGACAGTTTGACTATTTTGTTAAATTTACCAAGGGCTGTGATTAGCTTGGTCTCTATATTTAGTCAAGGGGCAATTTTAGAGATCTTACTGGATCATATCAAAGATCTGTTGCTGAGCCAACAACCCTCCCCACATTATTCTTTTCCCCTCATGGTTGGATGTTCAGAGGAATATTGCCTCCGCTCAGCTGGGGCTGAGAGGAGTTCTGATCCAAAAATGTGGAGGGTACCAGGTTGGCAAAGTCTGTTTTAAGACGGTCTGTTGAGCTTACATAGTTCATAGCTGTTAGTAGGCATATCCTCCAGTGAGTTCACAGAATCACAATCAATAATTATAGAGCTGGAAGAGATCCATGAGGATCATCTAGTCCAATCCCTGAGATTAAGAGTCTCATGTTCTACCAACTGAGCTATAAGGGGTCTAATTCCTTCTTAAAGCTATCTAACCCCATGGCTTTAAATTCCATTGCATCTTGCATGCAAGAAAGAACATTTCTTGCCCATCAATTCCCTTAGGTGACCCTAAGTCCTAGTATTATGAGCCATGAAGAAAAATGCATCTCTGAACTCTCTCCATGCCATGCATAATTTCATATATTCTGTCCTCACCCACCCACCCAAAATAGTCCCACACTCTTTAGCCTTTTCTTACAGCAGAGGTGAAGAACATTTGGCCCTCCAGCTGTTGTTGGACTACAGTTCCCATCTGGCCCAGTCAGCATAGCCAATGGCCAGAGATGATGGGAGTTGTAGTCCAGTAACATCTGAACGGCCACAGGTGAGCTATCCCTGCCTTTTGCAAGGAAAACAATCCAAACCCTTGGTTTTTGTGATTGTCTGTTTCTATATCTTTTCCAGCTCCTAGATGTCCCTATTTCAGATGAGGTGATCAGAAGTAATGATTGAAATAGGTATTGGACAAGATAGCAAACACCTTTGCCGCATCTGTCACAGAATAATTAAACTCTTGTGCCTATCCCAGCTCCACTTTATAACTAACCTTGGTCTTCAGCAGCCATTTTGAAGAGCCTGTTCTACAAACTTTGTTTGTTTGTTCCATAGGTGATGCACTGCTTCAGGAATGGAGGTTACGTCTGAACACAGGCGGAGCTCATGCCTACATACGGGAATATCACACAGCAGTTTTCTTTAAAGAATTTTTTTTTTAAAAAAAAGATTTCAATGGCTGTTCAGATGTTTGTAATGTCCCCCCCCCTTCTTTTTTTAAAATGAAATGTCCAATGGCCTAGGGGAGGGTGTCTATTCAGTTTTGGGCTTGGGCTCATGTTTTAGGTGTTGAAGTAGAAAAAGGTGAATCAGCACTAGAGAGTATGTTTGTTAGTTAGCAGAGCTGGAGAAATCTCCATATTGTACATTTATCACTGGCCCAGTTCTCCAGAACAGCAGATGAGTTTGTAAAGTCTTGTGCCTGGAGCTGAACCACTTTAGAGCTGGGGGTGGGGAGTGAGGCACATGCTTGCGCACTCCCAGCACACACAATAGATTTCTTTATGCCAATAACTGCAGAGAATTCTAACTTAGCTCTTTCTCTGATGTGCCATTTTTTATATACAAATATTTTGTTGTAGTGGTAGTCGTTGTTGGGTAGAAGAGCATTCAGTCATGTAAGCTTCCACCTGCAGTCTCACTTATGTAGTACAGCTCAAAAATAGGTTTACCATTATTTCATCTGCTGTGGGAGAGATCTAGGCCACCAGCTAGATGATTTTATTCCCTTAGACCTCATTTTTCTATACTCTACAATGATGTTTTCCTAGCCGTCCAATACTGATTTCTACAATTTTTTATTGCTTTCTACTGTAGCCATAGATAGGTGCAGGCTGGGAAAATCTGCAGCTCCTCCTATCATGCTTTGGAAGGAAACTAGGATGGGAACAGTAAGTAGAGCAGGAATGGGGGAGCTTGGAGCCCTCCAAAAGTGGTTGGGACTCCATGTCCCATTAGCCTCAGGCAGTCAGGGATGATGGGAACTATAGTCCAAAATATCTGGACGGCCATCTAAAAGCTTCCTGCTTCCAATGTGGGGGGAACCTGAACAAATGACAACCTCCTCTTTATTCCTTCTCCAGCTGAGCTGTCCTTTCTTTGGGAGTGATAAGATACAACAGTGCCTTCTGGGAGAGAGTAGGAGGTTTTCCTCCCTTGAAACAACCTACAGGCCTCAGTCGTGTGTGCATAACCTCCAGTATTTGTCACACATTAAACAAAAAAAAGGTCTGCTTATTTCCTAGGACGTTAGAGTAACAGTCGTGAGTGCTTGAAATAGCTATTTTTTCTCTTTATGCTAGACATACTACCAGTATTTTGAATTTTGCTCTTATGTAATAGAAAATGCAGTCAAGGCTTCCCTGTCATAAAGAAACCAGCTGAATGCAGCCTAGACGAAGGAGTGGAGGACAGATCCGTGGCTCTTACACTGGTGTTTTAAGCCAAAGCCTCCATATGACATGGGCCTTTATCCTGCCAGCCTTCCCTAAGTCAGCACCCTTCAGGTTTTGTTGCAGTCCAATTCCCATCTGCCTCAGCCAGAATAGGCAATGGGGCAGGGATGGTGGATTGTAGTTCTAGCAACATTTGGAGGGCACCAGGTTGGGGAAAGGTGCTGCATGCCTTTATTAACACACTCATTGCTCCACCCGCAAAAGGGGAGGCTGCAGGCTAGATACACAGGTCCGAGATAGCAGAGATCCCACTTGAGTTTCTCATCAGTCGTACATATCCCTGAATCGTTGGCAAAGTTTTACATATCCGGACCACCATTCTGGGCTCTCTTCCCCCATCACACATGTGAATTCTATTTCTTTATTAAACGGATCATCTTTGCTTGGTTTTTGCGTTCCAAAATCACTCGTTTGCCCTAAGTAGCTTGTGTGGTGCTATGACAACATGGCAGGGCTCCGTCTTTCAGCCTCAGCAGTGCTGTCAAGGATGTGTCATTTTTCCTTGGTCTGCAAAAATACCTCTCGGCCAGCATTACATACCATCTTCGTCTGACACCAAAGGCAAGAGTCAGAGCCTCTCTTCCTTATTAGAAGACACAACTATGAAGCTGGTGGATTTATGAAAGCAATGCCAGGAGGGCCACGGGTTCCCCTCTCTTTTAGTGGTGTGTTTGAGAGGAAGAGATTCTGCCTGACAGTGTCTGGGGATAAGCCCATCAAAATAAGAAAATAAGAAGGAAGAGGACAACTGACACCCGGGAGTCCCAGTACAGTCCTGGCTGACACTTTGGTGACTAAATGAAATGCAGCTGCTATCCTACTTGCCAGTTCTGATTTAACTTTGTGTGCAGCATAAAGATGCAGAGCTAAAGGTATGCCTGAATTTGCACCCATGGAGAGCTGATTCACACAATGATTCACAATATGCAGGCAAACTATGGCTTAGTGTGCAGGTTGCTAGAGAGACGTTCACAGCAACTGTGCTCCTCTCCTGGTACTCTTGCTGCTGCGAGGTAAGCCATGATTTAGCTAGGAGTGCTTTCTGAACCCAAACTCACGGTTTGCCTCACTCCAGACCAGTGGTGGAGCAAGCCAATCGGGTCCTGGGGAGGCGTGTGTGCCCTGCGCCCGGGGGCAGGGCCAGCTGCCCGTGGAGCAGGGTGAGCCGGGGCAGGATGCTCTGCGGGGCCTCCAAGGACTCTGCCTGTCTCCTCCTCTCAGCTGTCCTACAGCTGGGGGGAGGCAGCAGGCGGACCATTAGGCAGTGCAGAGCCTGTGCACGCCCAAACCACTGCATCTCTCCCAGGAGTGACGCATGGCTTGGGCACACTGCAGGCCCCGCAGTGAGTGCCGCCCGGCGTTTTGTCACCCCCTTCAGTGGTGATACCCGGGGCGACCCACCCCCACTGCACCTCCTTCCTCTGCCCCTGCTCCAGACACACCATGAGCCCAAGTTTGGATGCAATGCTAAACCAAGCTACACTGCTCATGACGGCAGCAGGGGGACCTGAACTGGAGGTGGGACCTGCACTATTGAAATTTCCAGAAACACTAATGTGTGCATGCATTTGTGCTAAACTGTGGTTTGGTTTAGCACTACGTGTGAACTAGCTCAGAGACTCACAGCCAACCATAGCTTTCCATTTACACCGGAATGCAACTCATTTTCTTACCTGTGTGACAGGTAATTGCACACACAGATTTGCTTAAAACATGGTAGGGATAGTCCATGGGAGAAATTGCTAATGGGCCGACCTCACTGACCCTGCGGATCAATAAAAGTGGCAGCCACATCCCCACTCCAAATGGAAAGCAGCGAAGGTGGATTGAGAGTCTGTATTGGCCAAGGAGCTGAGCAGGAAGGATCCAGAAGGAGGTTGAGCCTCCCTTTCAGGACTGGGAATTTCCACCAACTGACTCTCAGTTTGCATGCAGTGGCTCTGGGGCCCCATTAATAAGCTTATCAAGTCTCTGGGTCATTCCCCATAACCACCATCACACCTCCTGCTGACTCTCGTTGCATACATATAACACAGTGACCCTGACAATTGTCACCGGCTACTGGGGGGTGCGCTTGTTTCAGCAGCTGTTTCCCATCACTGCCACACACACCCCACATAACCGTTTCATTCTACAGGGGCTGTTTTGCAAGGACCTCCCCACCGCCAATTATCATCCCCTCTTTATCAAGCCTTGACAAGCACTGACTTTTGCCAGCAGGGATGCTTGAGGAATTTGATCTTTTCACATTCTGATACAGGCTCACTTGATCTACAGCTCCTGGACAAAAATTCAGATTGGAATGCAATTGTGGTGCTGCACTTCTTGGCTCAGAAAAAGCATCGAGATCGACTTTAAAACCCCTCTTTTGAGATTAAATGCATTTGGAAACGCGTATTTTGAGAAACTACTTTAGGGAATGGCACTTAGCGGTAGAGCAATCCCCTGGGAGAGAGAGAGCCCTGCCTCAAGCCCTGGAGAGAAACGGTCATTCAGTATAGACAAGGCAGCTTCCAAGGCTCCTAAAACTGCTTACTGAAATGCAAATCTGGGGGCATTTTTAAATGAAACCAGATTTATGGGGAAATGGGGTTCAATGGACAATCGGTGATCACATGAGAAAAGGAAGTCAGAAAGAAGCTGTGGCATCCATCCCTGCTTGCAAGGTGCTTATTGTGGTATTTCTGATGGACAGAAACCAGGAGAACCAGCCATTTGTGTCTCTTCCCCTTCCCTTTTATTTGCTGTTTTTGATCATCACTTTCCTTTTATTCTTTTATTAAGTTTCTTTTACATGCGCATAATTTGGAATTCTGCATTGTATGGAGCTGTTATAATATAAGAATCTGAGTTCAAGAAACAAAACCAAAAAGAAAGAAGAGTTACTGCATGGTAGAAAAATTATGTCCGAGGTACAGACACATACAGAGTTCCACGGACCAAATGTGTTGACAAAGAGGATATTTACAAAGTTCTGGGGCTGGGAGTTGGAGGACAAAGAGGCTGGAGACCGTAGCTACAGGTTTCTTCCAGTTTGGACACTCAGGAAGAAACTGCAGAGTTGGGGTGAAGGTAGCTCCAGCCCTTGACATTCCTTATTCAGCCTCATTAAGTCTCAGGGGAAGCATTCAAAGCACTGGACAGGAAGTCATAGCTGAAGAAGCCCCAAAGAGCAAATTCTCAACCAGGTCCCCATTCCAAGTGCTTACAGCTAGGGAGGAAGTGAGTCCCAAATCACACAAGTCATATGATGAGAGATTTCAGGCTAGGACAGACATTGGTTGCGAAGGAATGGAGGGGGCATCCTGTCCTGCCACAAAAATGGGAGATTTTTCACTTCTTGCACACCTTCAGCAGCTTCAAAATGGCTTCTTGGCCAGAGACCCCCAACTCACCTGACTACAGTCTCTGGAGATTGTATCCAGTGCTAGCCCTATTCAGAACAGAGCCACTGAAATTGATGAACCTAAGTTAGTCTACTCTGAGGGGGACTAGCACTGAATGCAACCCTCTCTCTCCTTCTGCCTGAAAGCTTGTCCATGTCAATATGCCTAGCCACATTGCCCCAGAATGCACTGGGGTATTCTTAAAATAAATCAGAACAGTCCGCCTTTTCCTTTGTTCTTGGAGCCCCTGTACCAATTCCTTCAGCGGGCATTCCACAGCCCTCATGAGACTGAACCATATGCTTTACTATGTGAATGTAAAGATTGGCCTAAGGCAGAATTTCTCAAAGTCACTTGCTGCCATAATTTAGTGTCAAGTCGCATATTGAGAACATGAATTGTCAAGATCCATGCATAGTTTGGAAAGTGCTGAAGCATCATGTGGTTGCTTCACCATGCACTCAATTTGTCTCTCAACCCATTTTCACCATGCCATTCAACTTCTTGCTGGCAACCTCTATTTCCAATACTATACTTCCTTATGCTATAGATCAGAGTGTGAGGAACCTCTGGCCTGGCAGTCTTGCAGAACATCAGCTCCCATTTCCCTGGCCCTTGGCTACGCTTGCCAAGGTTGATGGGAGGTGTGGTTCAGCAACATCTGGAGGGCCACAGGTCCCCTATATCTGCTGTACATGAACATATGCACAGTAACATAAGGGTAAAGGTAAAGGGACCCCTGACCATTAGGTCCAGTCACGGATGACTCTGGGGTTGCAGCGCTCATTTTGCTTTATTGGCCGAGGGAGCCGGTGTACAGCTTCCAGGTCATGTGGCCAGCATGACTTAGCTGCTTCTGGCGAACCAGAGCAGCACACGGAAACGCAGTTTACCTTCCCGCTGGAGTGGTACCTATTTATCTACTTGCACTCTTGACGTGCTTTCAGACTACTAGGTTGGCAGGAAGGGTACATAAGGGTACTATTGTGTTATATCAGCTTCTAGGGGCAGCATTTGGGTTGACATTCCATGAAGGAAGACTTCTCCAGGCTGGGAACTGCCAGTTCAACCCTTGAACTCAACAGACGACCCCAAATCTCATGAGAACTCACAAGAGATGCTCCATGTACATGTTCTGCGATGCGTCTCAGCCTCAAGCTACAATCCAATGAGGATCCAAAGCCCTGATTCTCTTATGGCTCACTTCTTGAAAGAGAGAGAGAGAGGATGAATGCTGAGGTTCAAGTTTACCTAGAAAGCTTACCTGGAAGACATACCTTCAAGATTTCAGATATGTGGGAGTGTCTGTAGCCAGAACTCAGCAAAGCCCTAGCATTAAAAATGGATTCTGGCTCATGTTAAACCCTGCAAAACCCTTTGCTCTCCTCTCTTCACATTCATACGAGATGAGCCTGCCTCAGATCTCCATCGCACACAGCGATATGATTGCATCAATCAAAAAGGGAAACAGGGTCCTTAACTAAAGACCATCCAAGCCCATGAACTGGCTTTTGAGATCCCATGAATGCACAGATCAATGCATCAGTCCATAGATGATGCACCACTAGGACATCCTGTGAGCTATCTATGCCCAGAACCCAGTAGCTGCAGAATAACCAGCAGGCATAAGGTCCATCCAACTTCCATACTGCATATCCCCTATAGGCAGACAGAATGGATTCAGTCTATGGATAGGATGAAGAACTGCAATTCAACTCTTCCTCTTCACCCCCCCAACCCATGTGACCAAATAGCTGCCAGAAAAATGGGTGCCTGCGACTCTCCAACAGATGCCTAAATGTCATCTCACAAGTGGAACCGCAATTGCCGGCAGTTGGCCATGGATAAAGGTGGCATCCACTTAGGGGTTGGGTTGGGTGGGGCTATTCCACTGTGCAATATAACTATTGCTCCAGAGATGTGAGATTCGATACACAGCAGATCTGAGCCAATCTAATGCTTTAACGAGTTGAGAGAGGCTGGCTGATCTGGCTTCATAAAAATGGGAGGCTGAGTATAGGGCATACACATTTTGATACAAGGCTTGTGAGAGACGTCAGCAAACTGCCCCAGGAGGAGAACTGCAGGTGGAACCTCATACGGGGGGGGGGGGGGGACTCTTGGGATGCCATTAATTTAGTCCACCCCTGAGACCAACTAGGAGCCATACTGATCATGCAGGGGTGCAACTCTCCCTCCATTGCCTTGACACTCTCCTCCAAAGTGCAATTTCAGCCAATACAGTAAAAAATGTGGCAGCGGTCTCGGCAGTCACTTCGCTGGATTGGCAGTGAGAAGCCTTACCCGGCCCGTTTGGTACAGCAGGGAGGGGGAGGGTGGCTGTGAGTGTAAGCCCTCGGTGTTGCCGAGGCCATTTGCTCATTCACTGGTGCTTGGGGGGGTGGGATAGACAAAAATCCCATGACTGCAATCATGGAGCAGGAATTCTAACAGTTACATGGGGGGAATATGTGTCTCTCTCATTCTCTGCAACTCAGGGATGGGGCAGGCAGTGGGCGCTGTGTGATGTCGACATTGTTGACTCATTAACAGTTGCATTTATCATTATTAATATTATTACTAGTAGTATTGATGGTCACATTCATGTCACACCCTTTTCGAGCCTGGGGAGGCTCCCTCCCTGTGCGAATGGTGCTTTGTCGATGGTATTGAAGACTTTGGAGTAAACTGCGTCGGAGACCTGCCAGGAAAAACAGAAACAGCCTCAAGAGTCAGAGTCAGGAGCGTGTCCATGGTCTGGATAGGAAGGAAGCCATTCATACCTTCCACCAGAGTTAAATCATGAAAACAATTCTGATTGGGAAATAACAAAATTAGCAATAACCTTTGAAAATAAGAGCAAGAAAGCAACAGCAATACTTTGAGTCTGTATAGAGCAGGGCAGATCCTCATATTTTGTTGGGCTCCCATCATTCCAGATCCTTGATTAAAGGTGGCTGGGGATGATGGGAGTTGTGGTCCCATAGTATCTGGGGGGCCCAAAGTTGAAGAACCCTGCATTAGAGTGGGGTTGAGGAAACTGCCCCCCCCCAGATGTTGCAGGATTACAACTCGCATCATCTAGGACTATTGGCCATGCTGGCCAGGGCTGATGGGAGTTGGAGTCCAACAAATGTATGAAGGGCCACACGTTCTCCAGCCTTGCTCTCAGGTAATAAGCTTGCATCTGGACTATACCACTAAACTGTAAAAATCTGGGGCACAATTATTGCTTATTAAAAACTAACTAGGTGGGGTGTTATTTCACACACCTGAATGTTCTGCCACTAAAAACAAACAAACACCCTACATCAAGGCAGCAGCTTCCTTGATGTAGGGCTGTTTCTTCTTCCCTGCCCCTCTGGCTTGGATTATTGAAATTCTGGGGCAGTGGCAAACCTGCATTTTGGGGACTGTCATGGGGCCCCTTCGCAACCAGCAACACGGTCTGGGTAACTACTGTTCTCTTCTTCACTGGGGTTGTTCCATGGCAGATCACCACACCTTTACAACATCTGTGCTACTGACTCTCAAGCTTTGGGATCGTTGAAATGCATACAACAAAAAATTAATCAATTTAGGCTGTGCAACTCCAGTTGGGTCTGCTAGACCCCCCCCCCCACCAAAAAAAATAGGCAATGTGGCCTAATCACTTTTGGGGTCCCTCTGGGATTAGGGGCCCTGACGCTTAAGGTTCATTAAATCCATCCCTGTTCTGGGACAAGCAAGTCACCAATGCAGGGGTATTGTTAGGAGGTAGCCCAGGGGCCCTAGACTCCCTATCTCTTTCCCCTCCCCACTTTTTAATCTTAGCCTTTTTATTATTTAAAAAATACAAACTTGGCTTACAGGCCGGCTGAGTGTCATGCAAAACACCAGTGAGATTCTAACCACCTTAATCTTAAATTGTTTAGAGACCTACATTTGCATCTGTGCATATAAATCAGGAAATCATAGAATCATAGAATCATAGAGTTGGAAGAGACCACAAGGGCCATCGAGTCCAACCCCCTGCCAAGCAGGAAACACCATCAGAGCACTCCTGACATATGGTTGTCAAGCCTCTGCTTAAAGACCTCCAAAGAAGGAGACTCAAATATGGAATAAGGAAATACAATGAAAATACAAATACAAGGAAATACAAATATGGAATAAGGAAATACAAATATGATGGGAATTTGCGTCACAAGCTTGGTCTCCCAGCTCTCTTAGAATTCCTAGCAGCACCCCTGATCAGCAGGCAAGCAAGCACCCACCTTGCTCCCTCACGGACTGTGCTATTCCACGTTGCCGTTCTGATTGTGCTGGTTTCCAGGCGTGCGCGCCTCCTCCTCGCAGGGTGAGAGCTCGTCAATGGATGTCTGGTTTGTAATTCCTAAGGAGGGGGAAAGGCATTAGCATCAGGGGGGTTGTGGGTACAGGTGCCAAGATCAAGAGACCCAGCAGAAGGTCGGGAGGAGTGAGGGGG